TGTCTATATCTACAATAATACCAACGTTTTTATTAAAAATATACAACAAAAATAATGTTTTTCATCTTAAAACATTGTCTATCTTGAAACTATAAATGTTTGAAAAGATTATATATACGTTTGTCTTTAACCATTAACCGTAGTCTTTGCCTCCCCTCTTAGTCTTTCACCAATTTTTTCTCATATTAATTTTCTTTTCTTTGAATTTGTCACTGCTTTGCTTCTTAGAGAAAATCTATAAAAAAAAAAAAAAAAAACCCCAAAAACAAATAAAATAATCCCTTACCAATTGAGATTTGCTCTATTCAAATGCAATGACCATTCAAATCCATATAAATGCCATTCTAGCCATATCCCTTTGCTCATAATACTTACAAGCTTCCACTTTTTTCCATAACAACTAAACAATAGAACACACTTTTAATCTTGTCTTTTTTTTTATTTAACCAAAATCGTGTTTTTTTTGTTGAATTCTAAAGGATAATTTTTTATATTTTCAATAAAAATCACATTTTTATCTTAAAATTATCATTTTTATTTATAAAAAATAATTTTTTTTTATATTTTCAACATAAATTACGTTTTTATTTTAATAACATTGTTTTTTGTTGAATTCTTAAGATTAAATTAAAAAAAGCAACATATAAATTATTACATTTTAAAAGTAAATAACATTGTTTATATATTCTGAAAATGCAATTCAATGAAGACAAATAGTACAAAATTTTTACTTTTTTTCCTTAATCTAAAAAAATGTTGATTTCTCTACTTTTCCTTTTTTATATTAGTAAAAATCTTAAAAAAGCTCAGCAACAACATTCTATGAAACAAATTATGTAAATCAAATTAAAGAATTAAATTTTAGTCAAACTAAAAGTTCAAATTAAAAAAAAAAAGATTTTGATAAAAAATCTTACTTTTTCCCCCTAGTCATTTTCTGCATAGAATCTCTGGGTGAACAGGATGCTTAAAGGATGAAGCATTTTTTTTTTTTTGGGTACAGAACACTTATAACTCCATTATTATAGATGCATTTCCTGCTCCATCCACAAGCAAACAGAAAGAGGAAAAAGTACTGTCATTGCACAAAGCAAAGGAATGGCATGTGCGTTCAAGGCAACCTTCGCAAGATACAAGCCCCATCTAAGCATGCTTCTATCACAAATTTGTTATTCAATTGTGTATTTCTTTACTGAGGCTTCCTTCAGTCAAGGGCTGAATCCACATATCTATGTCGCTTATCGATATAGCCTAGCTGGGTGGCTGATGTTTCCTTTTGCCTATTTTCTTGAAAGGTCGATTACACAAACACTTGTCAATTTCCACCTTGTTGAACCTTTAAGTACAAAGAACACACTATTTAAACTGTGGTTGAAGACTGTATACTGTAAAATCAGAAACTCACCCTTTTTATTATTATTAGAAGTGTTTCTGTCTACTTGATATAGTTTCTTTCCATGCAGAAAATCAAGGCCAAAGCTTACATTACCACTGTTACTGGAGTTATTTTTGCTTTCTCTCATAGGGTAGAGTAAATATTATAAATACTCCTCTACTTCTATTTTACGCCAATTATATTCAATGATTTTGAATCATAACTGTAAAAGTACTCATAATTTTTCTCCTTATTTTACCCCCTTGATGAAAAAACAGAATGTTAACCCTGAACATGTACTTCGCAAGTTTGAAAATCACTTCTCCAACATTCGTAGCATCTCTTTTAAACGCTGTTCCTTCATGGACTTTTGTACTTGCCATCATACTCAGGTGGATATCAAGACTCTGTACATGCACTGTTTCTTTTCTTTACATCTTATCATCAGTTAAAGGAGATTTCCTAAAGAATCTTCTCCATGTTCTTGGTGCAGGATGGAGGCTGTTGACGTAAAGAACCATCGTGGGATTGCTAAAATCCTTGGAACCGTAATATCCTTGGCAGGGGTGATGACCATCACTTTGTATAAAGGACCTGCATTGCAAGCTTGTGGGGTGCTCCAATTCACATAAAAAAAAGACTTTCTGTTCATGAGAACTGGGTGAAAGGATCGATTCTTGCTGTTGCTAGTTGCATAACATGGGCTATATGGTACATTATGCAGGTAATCTGTTAACTTGCTTTTATTTGTTGTAATTTTTTAGTGCTTAGCAAAAAGAATGGATCACTAGGGACATACTCTCTAAGAACTAAGCGATGAATGTGAAAGTTTCCTCTGAGAAGTTTAAGGCATTACTTTAAAAGCTTTAAACCTTTTAGGCAAGTACTTTGAAGAAATATCCTGCACAAGTGTCACTAGCAGCACGGATAAACTGTATTGGGGGAGCACAAACGGCTGTCTTTGCAGTTTTCTTACAGCACAAGCCATCGGCATGGTCAATCAAAATGTTCACTGTTAATTTCTGGTCCATTACGTATTCTGTAAGTAATTTCATGGCTCTTAAAACAGTTTAGAAATATTTGTTCAGACAAATGTCATAAGCTTGGTAGGATGAAATTGAATGTCAGGGAATATGCTCTGCTATTTTTGTCTTCCTTCAATTTTGGTGCATGAAAGAGAAAGGACCAGTCTTTGTGGCGATGTTTAATTCTCTTCAAACAGTTATGGTGGTGGTTCTAGCATACTTTGTTCTTGGTGAAAGACTATACACAGGCAGGTAAAATGTAAAACTCTAGGTTCATTTTAAAGTTCCAAACGAACTATAGTCTGTAAACACTCTGCTATGGATCCTCTTTAACTTTTACTTGACCATTCAGCATATTAGGTGGAGTGTCCTCGTTGTCATTGGTCTATACTTGCTACTGTGGGGCAAGGAAAGGGATCAGTCTTACATCAAGAGCCAAGAGCAATCTTCTTCACATTGTGATGAGATAAGGGTAGCCAACAAGGAGGTCGCTTCAGCCGAAAAAGAGGAACCGTGAAGGAAATAAAAGAACTTCGGATAAAAGAGGAAGAGATGCCACAGCAAACAATCTTGATTTACTTTCAACAGTTTCCAAGAGCAGCCAAGAGGAAGTAAATAAGCTCAGACATCAATATCAAGAAGTCAAAAGATAATAGCTATGTTTGTCTATACTTGTTAATGTGGAAGTTGCATGCTATAATCAAACATCTGAAGTAATCTGCACAAATGACGAATTCACATGTCTAACTGTAAACACAACTAGTGAAGAATGAGCAAGTCAAGGAAAGTTCTACTCACATGATGGCTCAAACACTTCAACCACACATCGACTCATCGCAAGCCAGTCTTTTATTTAATTTTATTTTATTTTTTTGGACCCATAACTAAATAAAGAGTCTATTAACGATTGCATCCAAATGGCCAAAGCTGTCCTTTGTGCTTTGCTGAATCCTTAAGAAACCAACATGTAAACGGCTTCAAGGGAGGTTTCTGCAGAACCAAGGCCTGTACTAGATTGGCATTAAGACATAAGAGAATATCCTATTATTTGGAACTTGCTTTTCCTAGACTATCTCACTTCTAATTATGCAAATTACAATCTCTGGTGTGGTGTATGAAACATGTGAAACCGTAAGATTATACTACCACAGAAGTTGAATTTGCTGCATCATAGCATAAGTTTTACACGCAGATTTCCTTGTCTTTCTCTAATAAAAAAATGGCAAACTTAGCTTTTCAAAAGATCATCCTTCAAATTGCTAATACAGTAAAAAGCAATAATTGAGATTCGAGAGCACCAAGATGTTCTCAATCACATATTCCACTCCAAAAAGATGGTGGGGAAGAAAAGAATAAGCAATTCAAGAAGAATATTAATAGTGAAATTATCATTATCTAAGTAGTGCTCCAACTTGCAAAATCATTTCATTCAATTCTGTAAATATTTGACGATAATAGGTTGTCAAAAACCCACAAAAGGGTTGCTGTAGGAAACAACAAACTCGGTACTATTCTTTACATTACAGAATTCACTTTGCAAGATGACATTTTGTGCCTTTAACTATGAATGATGGTAACATGTTCTGTGTCCCTCTTATTTGAGACTAATCCAGATGTAACAGTTTTTTATTTTGTTGGGTATAATAGATTAATTCAGGTGCGCAGCAATTCAACAATATGCCATATTCTCTGATGTTTATGATAGGCTTTTCACTGTACTGTTATAGGAAAGGAAAAGAATATTATGGTGATATTTATTCCTTGAGACCAGATTCCACACCCTGGAAAGTAGAATGAAAAAGGTTTGACAATACTCAGAAAGCTACTTCTACAGGACAAAGAGTCATAAGAAGGGTAGCTAAAATAATATAAAATCTCAGTTGTTTTAACAAGGATACTCTATTAATTTTCACTGTTCTACATTTGTGCAACCATTAACCAAAATCTGCTTATGATATTCTGTACCACAATTTTCATAGAGAAAATGATACTTACAGCGTGAAGGCATATTTATCACTACTGTAACAGAATCTAATATCATTTCAACAATAGTATATAGACGCTTGCGGATTTTTTTTCCTGCAATTGTGTATTTCATTACAGAAGGTGACTTCAATCAAGGGCTAATTCCATATTTCTACGTCACTTATCTTTATAGCCTAGCTGGCTGCTGATGTTTCCTTTTGCCTATTTTCTTAAAGGGTAGGTTATACAAACACTTTACTTCCACCTAGTTGTACCCTTTAAGTACAAGAACACAGCTTCTTTTAAACTATTCGGTTAATGACTAACATAGCATGAAATCGGGAACTCTTAGCTTAGTCTTTTTAATTTGCATGGAAAGGTTCACTGTCTAATGGATTTTACCTTTTTTGTGCAGAAAATCGAGACCAAAACTGACCTTAGCACTGTTTTTGGGTAGACAATAGCTACTCTTTGCAACAGGGAAAGAACTTGATTTGTTTTTATGTTTGTCTAATATGATGATCTCGAGCTTATTAAATCATCTCAAATAGTTTGCAGATTGTGAAGTTATATGTTGGCGCATAATTCTTTTTTTTTTTTTTTTGGCGACTTTAAGCAACTCAAAAAGCATGAGATAGTCAAGAAAAGCACTTGTATTGACATGGTGGATCAAACTCAATAGTAGCTATCATCTTACATTCCTACATCTTCTACCTAAATATGGTTATACATGCATCATACTTCAAACTCAATAGTAGCTATCATCTTACATTCCTACATCTTCTACCTAAATATGGTTATACATGCATCAAACTTGTACAAAAACTTTACAAAAGCTGAATGTGGTCAGAAACTTGAACTCCATCTGTCAATATAACTTCATATATAATTTAATGAAACTGGGCACTGATTCTCCACTCATTTTGCTTCTTGAAGCCGCATTCGAATTGACTCAGGGCTTGACACTTTATTGATGCTGAAAATAATTGGATAAGGAAGTCCATCACTTAAAAGCATTTTCTTAAAAAGTACCAACATATTTTGTCATGATTAGTTCTAATAAACTTTTTACATGCTAAATGTCTTAGAAAATATAAACATTTTTTAGATTTTGCAATGAAATATGTGAACAATCATCCACAACCATTACCATAGCAAATGAGCTGAAAAAAGTACCAATATTAAGTATAAAATTAATTACTCACCAAACAAGTAAATCCCCAGCAGAGGCCATCTTTTCAGATATCCATTCTGGAGCTAGCTCTTGCAACAGTTTTAGCTGCTCCTCAACTTCTCCTATGAAAGCAAAGCAAGACATGTTCAGCTAATGTTTTCATAAACCAAACAAATACCATGAGCTGCTAACATTTTAGCATAAAGGCTTACCTCTATCAGCAATATCACAATGGCCAGCAATTATTTTGTGCATAAGCTCTTCTTTGGTAATAACAGAGCGCTTTATGGACTGGAATAGATAGTGAATCATGTTGAAGAGCTTAGGTAGGCAGGCAATCATCCTTTGTCGCCTCTTTGCTTGTGAGATTGCTGGGTCTTGCTCCTCCATTGCTTTCCTCTCTTTCTCCCTTATCTGCAAAGATAATAAATGGTTACTTATGCACTGCACTATGCAATCAAAGCCCAACCTTTACTGTTCCATGTACTATTCAATGTTCACTTTCAACTAGATATTATGCTAAATGATGCCAAGATATCTTAAAGTAAGACTGCTGGATCACATTAGTTGCCAAGCTCATTAACTACTATGTAGAAGTGTATTTGTTCATTCTCCTTATGATAGGATAAGAATAGTGGATGTCTCATCTACAGATTGATTTACTATCCCTAATCTCATATCTAGTAGAAACTGGAAAAGAGCCCAATGATATTTTTGTGGGTAAGTCATCGGTAGGTGGCTAATTATTTGGAGTTGTTAGTAGAGTATGCAGATGGAATTCATGCTGTAAAAAGGATGATAGCCAAGAGAATTCATAGTGGCTCACTGAATGCAGAAGGCTCGCGGGCAGAATGGAGAGAACATCGTCATTGTCATTATTGGCTGGATTGCATGCCATCTCATGCACTTCATCAACATCCTTCTCTTCCTTCACAGGACTGTCAAATTTCAAGGACCTGGTACGTGGTGGCCTCCGAACTAACTTGTTTGATAAACTGGAAGAAACTTCATTTGGGCTCATATAACATCTCTTTTCCGGCTGTAAAGTAGGTGTGGCAGTCATCAGCCTAGCGGGAGTTGAAGCTAGTTTTGCAGGAGTGGACTGAATACTGCCAGCTTTTGTAGGAGAGTCATCTTCAGTTTTCAAATGATTTATTTCTTTGACAGGAGTTGCAAGGTGGCAACTTCTGGAACTCGTCTCACAGATAGTTGGTTTAGATAAAAGTTTAGTTGGGGATCGAGTTGGAGCAGAGCTAGTTTTGTCACTGTAGGCAGATCTGTCAGCACATGGCTCTGGAACATGAAAATTTGTAGATTGAAGGGAAACCTTTGAACATTTTTGGACAACCTCCTGAGCTCTGCTTGTGGCTTTTTGGGAAAAGCGCTTTCGAAATGAACAAGATACATGAGATGCTACAACAGGTTGCTGGTCATTAACTGCATCAACTAATGTCTCCACAGCCAGTCTTGAAATGGAATTTGAATGATTGGATGGTTGCGGTCGTGTTTCCTCTTGAATTACTTCATCTTGTGCTGTCAAGGATTGCTGCTCTGACGGTGTATCAGTTGATGACTCATCAGATGACAATGAAATAGGTCCTTTGATCATGTTCAATCGCTTATTCTGCTTTGAACGATTGAATGGCTCTGGGAGATCTTCTTCTGGAATTTCACCACCCTGAAAGCACAATAATCGGAGTCAACACAACATGATGCATGAAAATAGTTAGAATGACATTAGGTAAGTTTTAGCTTCCAAAGTACTGAAATATTTAGCAATGTTTTTCGGTTCCTAACCAACCATTAGACTTTATTGGTTAAGGGAATTTAGATTTTCAATTTAATTTTTTAAAATTATTTTAATAAAAAATTTTACAAACCAACTATAATTTGAATCAATTGACATATTATTAAAATTGACATTTAAAGATTACAAATTCAAAAGAATTTATGCACATATTAATAAGATAAAAAAAAAAAAAAAACTTAAAAAAATACTTTACAAACTTTACCTAAAAATTTTATATAAAATTTTCTCACGAGCTTTTGCGGAGACAATAAAATTCCAGAAATGCTTTCACATAGAGGAAACTAAAGTTCATAACTTGATTTTATGTCTATCAAACTTCAAGCTTAAAGGTTAAAACTTAAAACACGATTACAAAATTCAAAACTAAAACCAAATCTAATGCTCCAAATGTTTCAACATAGCTAATTGGTATGTAAACATGCATAAAGGAAAAAAAAAAATTGATAGCAAGAAATGCACAAACAAAGATTACTAAACTGAAAAGAATACCTCAGGATGAGCCTTGACATAATCTGCAAGCCGAGCTCGAAAAACCCTCCTCAAGCTCAGATTCTTGGTCTCAGATTCTGAATCATGCCCACAGTCAATTGCATCGGCAATGATGCTAATGCGGAGATCTGGTTTCATACAACTAGTCCCCTCATCAAAGATCAGAATCCTCTTTATCTCAATCGCCTCGGGTAGAATATGCTTCAATTGGGCCAAGTGGCCGTATGAAAACCTCCTATAAATCAGCATCAAACTCCAAAAGATAAATAATCAAATAAAGCAAATCAGCCATTGTAATAGTAATTATAGAAAATTCACTTAACCTATCAGTTAAGCACTCTATTTTGGGACTGATATTAGTAAAAGTTGGCATCGCGCCCTTCAGTTTTAGCAGCCGGATTGCAGAATCCAAACTATCGAAGAACCCACACAATATCTCGTACCTGTTCACAAATATTCAATCAATAACTATTTAAAAAAAAACTTGGGTTAGAAGAGGTGGGACTTACTTTTCAGGAAGCTTATCGGGACCGTCACCGGAGGTTTTGGGTGGAGGAGATTCGGTGGCCCAGGATAAGATCTGTTTTCGGGCCGATTTATTATGGTCATTCGGAGGTTTGGGCTGGGTCTGGGCAACTGAACGGATCTCCTTGATGGAGAGAGCAACGCCACTGTTACGAGCCCGGTTGGGGAGCTGGGAGGCGTGCTTTTCTGGGGTTTTGGAAACGGGCGATTTAGAGGTTAGGTTCAGAGATTTTTTGGATTTGAGAGGGGTGGATTTTAGAGAATGTGAGGAGCTCATGGTTGGAAAATTACAGAGAAAATACGAGGGAAGAGATAATTGGCGGCTGAGAGGAACTGGGGTGGGTCGAGTGGGGCTTTATGGCAGAGGATGTAAAGGGTGGGAGTATAAAAGACGGTTTTCTGGCGGGAAATATTAGCTGGGACAACCACGGATTTTGACACGTGTATTCCCGCCAAATTGATCCGTTACGTCCCGCGGATTCCTCTAAGATTTGTTTGGAGAGTAGACTAAACGGTTATTATTGAGTGGGGATATCCCACACCGGTTTTCTATGTACATGGACTTGTTAAAATTGGGCCCAAAAAAGACATTACCCTAGCCCAAGAAATAGTTAGGAACTAAAGCCCAATAAATGAAGAGAGTTCCGAATTTCTTGGAATGGGCCCGTTAGGCTTGTGAATCATCTCACGTCCAGGTCTTTACCGGTCGGTTAAATGACAACTCAATAATCAAAATAATATTATAATAATTAAAATAAAAATATTTTAGGTGATGATTTTCATTAGAAAAAATGGGTTTTGCCATTGCCAAAACCAAAGACCTTCGTTCTGCAGCTCAAGCAAAGGCTTTGGCACTTAATCTAGAAACCCAAAAAAAAAAAAAAAGAAGAGGTATTACTCACCTTCACGTCTCCTTCATTCAATTTTTTTTCTTGCAGAGAACAAGAATAACCCCGAAGGCCCTCTTTCTTTATGTTCTTGAATTGATTAACTTCTTCATAGTAATTTTAAAACGATTCACTCATAAATAAATTTTTTTTTATTTTCTTCCACGCAACCGACCCTCTCCTCTCTCCCTTCCCTGTCTTTCTTTCTTTCTTTGAATTCTCCAAGTAACGGTCAATCTTTGGTCTTTGTTGATTTTTTTGGAATAATCCTTAGTATGTATAGGCCAAATTCGCCATTTTGATTATTTCTTTATTCTTTCGGGGTATTATTGGAGCTGCTCGTTTGTGGATCGGAGGTAAATTCGAAAACTTTTTTTATTTATTGTAATAAATTGATAATCTTGGCATGTTATTTTATTTCAGCTACTTTTCTTTTGAAGAATTTATGTGGATACAATTTGGGTTAATTTTTGGTTTTTAAATAGTTTATTTTAAATTTAATGGATATTGGAGTCTTTGGTGACTTAAATTCGCCAAGAATTACCTTCCCTCGTAGCATGTTTTGCTGCTAAGCTTTTGATAGAGTAAAGCTTTTTTTTTTTTTTTTGGATATTCAAGAGTACTTTAGTTGAACTGAGAATGGACAGCAATATAAGTGCTGAAATTTTTATCTCGGTTTGATTTTTTCTTCCTTATATTATTCGCTTACTTATTTTTTATGGTTTATGTATTATGGTTTTGCATACAGTTGTTACTATCTGTGTTCAAGAATCTGCAAATTAAGTTTCTAGGTTCCAATTGTTGCATCTTTTAGCTTCTTATCCGCGGAAAAGATTGTGGCTTTGTTCCAACTTATGATTTGCAGGTATTTGAACTTAATTAATTAGTGTAAGGATTTAGGGCAACTATTTTGTAATGATGTGTTCATTCATGTCTTGTTTTATTGGCTGTTTCAGTGTTTGGATTTTATATTAAAATGATACCAATGTTAGGTTTTGTGCAGTCCATAATTTTGCTTAGTCTCTTTGTTGTTCAGATGCACATTATGATGGATTAGTTTTCTGTTTTGCTTGTATTCACCCTCTTTCTATGAATGTGAGCATGTGCATACATACATCATAAAAAGGAAATTTGTCTGATTTTCTTTTTATTGGCAGAACCTTGCCATAAACATTTTCGTATTTTGGGGAATGGACTGGCTGTTTTTCCCTGCCATCAAGATTTATGAATGATGTTCAGGGCTCAAAAGGCTGCAAATGCTCTTGGCATATTTAAGTGGAGATGGGGTGGTGAATCCTCTTTGACAACAGGTTTACTAGGTGATGTGCCTCCTGAGATTGAGTTGTCTGACTATGGAAGAGTACCACCAAGTCCTGGTAGTGAGAGCCCTTCAGGGCTTCTTAATGGTGAGACTCCGAATGTGGAACCAATAGCTGACTTAGACTTGTTCTTTGAACAGCTCTATAGCTACTATTGTGAGAAGGGGCTTTGGTGCATAATTACAAAATGGATAGTTGAACTTCTGAGCCTGGGCTTTACCATATGTTTCTCAGGGTTTTTCTTATTGTTTGTTGATTGGAATGGTCTCCGCAACGCAAAGTGTGGGATGGATGCATTTGAATCTGGAATTAAGCCCTGTGATCTTGCTAAGGAAGCTCTACACCAGCACCCTTTAACCCCTTTAACACTTTCAAAAGCTATTATTGTTGGATATTTGGGGCTATTTTCCAGCTATTGGATATTCTGTTTTTTAAGGTTTTTTGCGCAATTAAAGGATACTCTTGGAATACGTCATTTCTATCATAACAGGTAAGTTTATATTTGATAGGTTAGAAGATGCGGATTTGGATAGAGCATTTACAGTTGCAGTACCATATAAATGTTTAATGATTTTATTTTATTTTATTTTTAAATTTTATTTTGCAGTCTCCATGTTTCTGACAATGAAATTCAGACCATGCCATGGGCAACAATACTTGAAAGGGTTGTCCAGTTACAAAGTTCAGAACAACTCTGTGTGGTCAAGGATCTTTCTGCTCATGATGTGGTTATGCGATTGATGCGGAAGGAGAACTACTTGATTGGAATGCTTAATAAAGGAGTGCTTGCTTTTCCTATCTCACCCTGGGTGCCAGGTGCTGGTCCAACTGTCAAATTTGGCCCTGATGGAATGAGACATCGTCTGATGCTAACAAAGACACTTGAATGGACCTTAAATTGGTGTATACTGCAGAGCATGTTTGATCAGTATGTTTAACTTTATATGAACATTTGCCTTTCTGCTTTGTGTATGTTGCGTCCTCTGATAATTACTGTTATGGATATGGTTCCAACATGTATACTTAGCTAAACAATCTATAGAAGCAAATGCTGTGACTTTCTACTTTCAGACTATTGATACAATTACTTATTTCTTCAATTTTTAATGCATAATATTTCGATTTCAAGAATATTATATACTCCTTCTTGTGTGAAGAGTTATAACAAGATGCATTTTGGTGTTCAAATCTGCCATTTAATTGTTTTTGTGTTTTTCTAAATATGTTGAGAGGGGCTTTTGTAGATAACACTGGGAAAAATGGTTGGGCTCTTTGAGACTCTACAGTTTTGTAGTAAAGAGACTATGCATTTTTTCTTTGCATGATCCCTTCCACGGTTTTGGTACCAAACCACTGACTTTGGAGCTGCAGCTTTAGGAAATTCTTAATTTTTTCAATTTTCTTACAGAGTCTTAACTTTTGGTAATCCTGCTTAGGTTGGTCTTTAATGGTTGATTTTATGAAGTAGCTAGAGATAATTTGGTTAAAATAATGTTTCATTGCTTTTTTTTTTTTTTCTACTGCTGCTTTTTTTGCCTTCTTGACTTGCACCTATTTGAAATATGTCAAAATTCTGAAAAGGTTTTATTGACCCATTTTCTTTCTATGTTTAGTGAGGAAATATTTTATGAAGTACTTCAAGTTTCAAATGTAACCCTGAAATAGACCTTGACAATTTTTATGAGGTTTTGTTGATTTTAGTAGCCAAAAGCACTTGCTATTAGTTTTTCTATTTCTTTTCTTAAGAAAACAAGAAAACCAACTAAATTCTAGGGGTTTATGACCAAATTCTTTTTGGAATGCATGTTTTTGCAGAAACTTTTATGTTAGAAGGGACTTCATAACTAATCCTAGAACATTGAAGAAGAGGCTCATGGTTGTCGGGCTTGCTATGCTTCTTCTATCTCCATTTCTTGTTATATTCATGCTAGTTTATCTCTTCTTAAGGCATGCTGAACAATTCTATAATCATCCAAGCACGGCTTCATCCCGAAGATGGTCCAATTTGTCAAAGTGGATGTTCAGGGAATTCGACGAGGTATCGTCATCTTCCCTTTTCTATGCTTCATTTGTAAGCTAAATCATTTGTGCTGGTGAAATCAAGAAGGATTTATCCACTGCCTATCCTCACAAGGTTGTGTTATTACTTTTATTTAGTAATTTTGAGTGTTAGTCATTTGTTTGAAGTTACATACTTGTGTTGTTTGTGAAAATTTAATTTTTTTAAATAAAAAAAGAAAATTTAAATTATCATAAAGAAGAAAAGTTGTTTAGAACCTACTGTGAAAATAAGATGGCAACAATTGTTTCTTGAGATGGATATTTTACACTTCCAGATTCTCTTCATTTTTACATACTGTAATGCTGTATTTTTACGTATAATGTTATCTGTCTTACAGGTTGACCATTTATTCAAGCATCGGATAAATAGCAGCGTAATGCATGCTTCTGAGTACATAAAGCAATTTCCCTCACCTATTATTTCTATCACCGCAAAGTTTATCTCATTTGTATCCGGTGGCTTTGCTGCTATCTTGATTATCATTGCCTTTTTGGAGGAATCTTTACTAGAGGGCCATGTAACTTTTTTGAACTTTCACCGTTTCAGATTCTTCTATTTTCTGTTCAACTTATCTATATTTCATTTTAGTTATTTACATATTTATTTCAAATTTGTAGATATTTGGTCGGAACTTGTTTTGGTATGCAGCTGTTTTTGGAACCATAACAGCTATAAGTCGGGCTGCTGTTAGGGATGAACTTCTGGTCCTTGATCCAGAAGGAGCAATGTCTATGGTGGTCCAACATACACATTATATGCCAAAGGGATGGCGTGGTAAAGAAAACACTGAAATAGTCCGGATAGAGTTTGAAACTCTATTTCAGGTAATCCCTTCTAATTCTATTTTTGTTTTACCTGTAATCTCAGACATGCATGCTTGTTGAATTGTAAAAATCTGGGAAGATAAGATGTTTAAACTGCTATATAAGCCATATGAGTAGTTTGCATTTGCCAGTAGTTTTCTTAGTTGTCTTGAAACTCATTTGGAATGACAGGACAGATACTTCTCAGTTTAATTACGCAACTCCAGAAGTCTGAATTTTCAAGTAGCAACATATCATTTCTTCTGACTAGTTTGCTACATCAAGTGCTAGCAATTAAAATTTCTAGGCCAACCATGTTTTCTCTGGGCATTGTTACTTTTTATTGGGATATAGTTAAAATTAAAATTCATTTGAGAAATGTTTTGATTCTTTTCTCTTTAGTTTAGACTTTTTGAATCCTTTTTTTTCTTTTAAATTTTGTGATGCAGTACACTGGAATGATGTTGCTAGAGGAGATGGCCTCAATTTTCCTCACTCCATTTTTGCTTCTATTTGTTGTTCCAAAGGTCTTTTTTTTTTCCTTTGGAAATTATTTCTATTGTCATTTCTTATACTATACATCTTTTTTTTTTTTTTTAAACTCTAAAATGCTGTGTGTTTATTTTGCAGCGTGTGGATGACATTTTACAGTTCATTGATGATTTTACTATGGATGTTAAAGGTGTCGGTCATGTTTGCAGGTAGACTGTTCTTTTTTTTTATTTTTTGGGACCAGTTTATTACTAGCTATATGCCCATTAAATGAGGTGACTTGTTTATTTGTTCCCTACTTCATTTTACAGTTTTAGTGCGTTTGATTTCCTAAACCATGGCAATGGTAATTATGGCTCTCCACACAATGCACCTCATTCACAGAGGAGTTCCCAAGGGAAAATGGAGAAATCATTCTTGAGGTATGATTTTAGCAAAGTTAATTGAATTTGTGTGCTTGCTTTGTCCTACACCTGCTCTTATTGCTATTTGCTTGGTGAACATAGTTTGGGAAATCCGAAATCACCTCAAAATCTTATTCACATTCTCTATGATAGAAGCTGATAGCAAGTTTCGAATTTAATTTCAAAATACAATCTGGTGAGATATAATATGGTATTGTTTTGTACGAAATGCCATTTTTCTACAACTTGCGATTATTTCTTGGCTGATTGCTTCAAACGCCTTACTCTCCTTCTAGAGTCATTATTTCCCCCAACTCTTTTAATAATTTTTTTTTTCATTTTTCATTTTAAAGTTCTGTTTTGTGATTATTCTTTGGTTATGGTGCTTTTTCTCCCATTTTGTAATGTTGAACCTCCTTTCTACCTTTTCCTCTCATGCGTAATTTCATCTTGAATTATTTTATTCTGATTGCAGTTTCCAGAGTAGCTACCCTTCATGGGAACCCGATGCTCAGGGTAAGCAGTTCCTGTTAAATATTAGAACTTTCAGGGAGCAAAAGTTGCAAGGCCATAGAGCCAGACATGCATATTCTCCAGGTAGATTGTTGCGAGGTAGCCCACTGGGAGCTTATGGAGTTAGAAACGGCCTTTTATCAAGGGAAATGCAGCAGAATATTCCATGCACTGGCTATAATTTAGGTTCCTTATGGCTAATTGATGATGATCAAAAGAATCACCCTTATCTTCTAGATTGGTATTATACCTCTCAATGTCACCATGTGACCGGTTATAGGAGAGACACTGCAACGAGGTCATTTGAAGCAGCTGAACAACAGCGTGGAGATTATCAGGTGCTAACCAACATGACACATAATGAAGCAAGAGATGAAGAATACTGGCCACACCGTTATGATGATCGATCACAGTCACATCTTGAAGCTTCAACATCAACTCCTTTCTTCCATGAAAGTGTACTTCAGCATCATGATACAAATAACTTGGCAAACCATCCAAGGAGCCGTTGGTGGGATAGAAGCGGTTCACGTGCTGCACAGCCCGAAACAAGTTTCCTTGAGCCTCCTGATTTCAACCGCTATTCATCAGACCATCATTATGTTAACTTATCTGAGACAAGTGTAGAAAAGCAAGATCAATTCCTTGATTGGAGGGATTCTCAGAGATTATCCTGGCCGACTTACATGGATGATCTTGAAGCCAGAGGGGATGTAAATCTTCATTTTGATGATATTTATAGCAGACCTCCTGAAACTCCCGCTGTAAATTTAAAGCCCCTGAGCTTCGATTGATCAATAAGCTCTTAGTTTGTGGTGTTGTACTTCCCTTCAGATGAATGGAATGCAAGTGGGTTTCCATTGCTGGACTGAGGTTTTGTCCTATTATGCAAGGAAACTCTGTATTCTTTGTTGTATATACATTCATTGTGAGGTTAGCTTCTAGAAGACCTCAACTCAGATTTAGAAGTTTCATACTCCAACGAGTCACTGTTAGCCTTCTGATAGTGTATAAACAAACAATTGAAAGCCATTGATCATTTTAAAATTTCATTTAATTCCAAGTATTACTTTATACATTTTTGTCTTGATTAAGCTTTTTTTTTTTTTTTTTTTTTTTTTCCAAAAGCACTATTAAATAATGCTGAGAGGCCAAACCAGTTTTTATGTTCTTGGCAGCCTGCATTAGTAAAGCAAGGAGAACGACAACGTTTCAATACTGTTCCTCCTGCTTTTGGTATCCTACCACATTGGCCCTGTTACCGTTGCTTGGAAAACAAAACAGAGAAAGTCACTGTTAAGGGGTTGAGAAAAAGCCATTGTTAAGGGTTTTTGCAAGGGTTAAACAAAAACAAATAAATAAAACCTAATTCCAAAACTTGCCAAAATCCCTTCAGAGCTTCACTTTCACTTCTTTCAAACTTCAACCGCCAAAGATTCAAGACATTTCTGATAATTCTCCACTGCTTGCTGCTCAACATAATAGCATAATTAATGTTGTAAGAGCAAAAACTATGATTAATTAAACTTTGAACAAAACCATTCCTTCTGCTGTTCAGCAGCAGCAAAATAATTACTACAAGACAAAAGAAGTCGGTGGTCATTGCTAAAGGATTTCCATTGCTCTAACTCGTAGAGTTTTAGTTACTCATTGTTGGGTCCCTTCTCTCTGGCTTCCATTAAATGCCCCTCTTGTCTTTTCTCTTCCTCTATATATCTCTTAATAACTCTAAACAGAGGCGCATGGAAGCAATCATTGTCATTCATGAAGAGACAGAACTGAAAATAGAATGAAATCAATCTTATCCGCACATTGCGCCTTAAGCAATGATTCTCACTCCCATGCCCGCCTGCATTTTCAGTAAGAACCCATTTGTTTTTCTCACTATGTACAATATCAGTGAAAAGTCACTCTACACTCATCTGGATTCTCTTTTTTCTTACTCATTTGCCTCACAACAGTTTCCAACTTAAAACAAAAAAATAACCAAATTAAAGTCAAGCAATCTCGAATTAGAAATCAAATTCAACAGGCAGTACTGGATTTCTGGGTCTTTGGCCGTGTCTGAATGGAAATAAAGATCTCCGAGCTCTATTACTGCTCTCTTCAGTCGTATTAATCTCTCCAGGATGCCTGTTTTGTTGGACAATGGCTTGAACAGATAAGTAAAGCTGTCGATCCACAGCAGAATCCAATGAGAAAGATCTCCTGATAGGTTGGACCGAGAACTGATCATCTTTCTGTCTAACATCAATGCACTCATCTCCCATAATTGAGAGATGGTGGCGCTTTCTTGATTTTAAGTTACCGGTCTTCTGCTCGGGTTTTTTTGGTGATTGACATATAGGCTGCAACTGCATCAATGCTTCTCTTGAATTGTCTCTTTCTTGTTGCCTATGAGGTAATAGAGCACCTCCATCTTCTCCTCCAAGTTCTATCACTACAAAGTCCTCGTCTCCACTCATCAGGCTATCAGTGTATGGCTGTGAGTCTTGAGGCGAAGAGCTAGGTGCAATGATTTGATTGATTGGATAACGCGTATTGCCTGAAATGCTTGTTCTGCAAAGAGGACAATTGGTGTTGCTTTGGAGCCATATATCAATGCAATCTAAGTGGAACTCATGGCTGCAGTTGGGAAGAACTCTAAGCATGTCATGCTCTTGAAACTCATTCAGACAAACCACACAACCATAGATACTTCTCTCATCACCTTCTCTTTGGAACTGAAAAGTTGGGATTTCTCGAATGACAGATTCATCAAGCCCGCGATTCCACATTGTTGGAGAGAAGGCAATGAACGTATCTTCCTCTTGTCCTGCTCGAAACAAAGATATTCGCCTTAGCGGATTAAGTTCGTGCCAGTTAGAGCTGCAGCATTTGCTCACAAAGATATAATAGCTAACTAGCAAGAAAGCTGTACCGATGATGCTTAACACAGCAATGGTTAATATAGGAAATGCAGGGTCTGAACTAGGCAAGGGAGGCTGATAAGTTGGATTTTGCTGATCCTTGATGGCGGAAAGAGCTTGAAACCCAAGGTTGTAGAAGTATCTGTAGTTTGGTGCCATAAGCCAAATATGAGCCAAGTCACTGACCTATTTGAAAGATGCAGGAAAATAGATCCTGAACTGAATGACTGACTCATAAAAAGTGAATATCACATACAGAATATCTTGATAAAGAATTAAAGAGTGATTGAATGGGAAAGAGAGACGGAATTTTGAAGCAAATACCAAGTAAGATACTGGAAAAAAAGGGGTGGGGTAAAGCTAAAGCCAAAGATTTTGATTACTTAAAAAAAGAACCCAATTCAGCGCAGGCCAGGACAGGCACACATGTGTTTCTATCAATGTGCATTTGGCTGAAAGCCAAGGCTTGGAGAGATAATGATGGCAATTTTAGTTGTCTTAATAACATTAGAGCACAAAAGGAGAAATAAGAGTGCTTAATATATATTTCAGTGATCATCAGGTCACCCTTTGAGGGGGAATTCTGTAGGTCCCAAGATTTCATACTGCCTCGTTTCATCTGGTCACCATTCATCGTTTATTCGATGCAATTTCTTTATATTAAAACTACAACAGAAATGAGATTGGTGCACCTCTTCCATCTGGCGTGTTAGTACCTCATCTAAATTTGGTGATACCCCGATTGGATCATTGTGGATATAGCCAACTTTCATTTATTCTCAAAAGTTTGCAACCTTTAATTTATGAACGTGACGTGACCTTTCACTTCACAATACTTTTCCTAGTAACTATTAAATTATCCAAAAATGAAACAACCTCGGTCAATTTGCTAAAAACAAGTATTGCCTTTGAAGTCTTGAGATCTAAAATCAAATAATTCCTCTGTGCCAGCAACTCTTTTGTAAAAAAAGGAGGGTGGGTGTTTGATAACGTCAGGGACATATAGCTAATTAATTCTGAGGTAACCAAATGTCAAAGAGTCTAAAAATTATTTGCTAGAAGTCAAAGTATTTGAGTATTTTGAAGTGTTGAGGCCTAAATGAAATTCGCATGCCAACAACTCTGTTCCGAACAAATAAAGGTTGTGTGCAATAAGAGAGAATGTTTCAACAACGTAGTCTTGATGAATTCCCCAATTCAATTGTTTCTTTGTATCTTACTTCTGATTTTGGTTACAGAAGTCAAAATCCAGTTCCCAGCTATTACCGGCATTAGAGTCCTTCATCTAAGTACGCATATATGTTATCCTTGCCAGTTTTTGAAATGGAAATACATGGAATATTTGTTAATAGATAGTGTTATTTTCTTTGCACTGTTTCTGAAGTGAATTGAATTGCGTTTCCTTTGGTGATTACGTATGTCATTATCTGCATTTTTCATATTCTAGTCAATGGTTTTTGTCATGTTGTTGTTCATCATATAGTGGTTAGCAATACGTGATTGTCGGAAATTCTATAATTAACTATATCTATAAGACAAATGTTTCCTTTAACATCAGTAGGATTTAGCCTAAAACCAATCCTTTTTTGATTCCGTGAAGTAAGCAAAACTTAGAAGTTTTCTAATCTTTTAAGACCAAAAACAAACCATTCTTGGAGTTGCATCTGGGACTTCCCTTTGCAATTTGAGGGAAAGCTAGCAACAGAAAAGGTCACTTCGACAATTTCTTTTCAGTACTTTTATGTTTGTTTTGCATCTCGAGGTACAATTAAACATGGATTCCAGCAAGTATTGATGGTAAATGGTACATTTGATGTGGCAGCTTAGATGACAGTTTGTTGAAAACCAATTGCAGAAGTGACAGTAGCAAGCATTTTCTCTTACAATTTTTTTCAACTAAGGGGGCTCAAATTTTGGTTTAATTCTCTATAATCCAATCTTTAATTATTAGACCATTTTCACAATTTATTTTCTAACTTTTTTACTATCATTTTAGAATAACTGATCTGTTTCCTTAGTCCCCCTGTAAGGAAAAATGATGTCTTAACAATGCATCATATGCAATCAATAAACAATCTTTCAAAGTTTCTTTTATCAAATCTACAAATGTTTTTATCATTAAAACTTTCATGATTTAGAGAAAATATTGGATGCTGCCGTGAAAAGACTCCAAGATGCCAATCCCCGTAACTCCAAAATTTTGTATTTTTACAGAATTTTACATTTCCGACCAAGAATTAAACAACAATTCCATACATCATCACCTTGGAATAAAGAAAGGTGGAAAAACAATGTGAACTACTTAAATTAATTTAATCTCTCAGAAAAATAATGTCAACTTGCAAATTCAATATCATCATCGTTATCATTGCTGTATAATTAGAAATTTTTTAATGATGCAGTGTATATGGCTGATTATAAAAGGCTATGTTGCGAAAGATTCTAATTTGTTTATTTATTGGTCAACTTTCTAGTAAGGATTTTAATGCCCTTTCCTTCCTGTAGCTTGGCTTCAAAGGCTTACAGAATATTGAATAAAAACTATCTTCTAGTTTCAAAGATTGGCGTTGAATTGAATCGATCATGGAACTGCTTTCAAGCTGGTGTTATGATGGATCCTTACCAGAAAGTTATGTGATGCCACCAGAGAGAAGACCCGGAAAGCTCATTGTTCCATTTGGAAAATCCATTCCAGTGATTGATCTTGAGTGTCATGATCGAAACGAGACAATTCAGCAAATTATGAAAGCTGGTGAAGAGTATGGATTTTTTCAGGTTCACCTATGACATTAATTTCTCTTTTAGTATTGATTTCTTAAAATTTCAAGAATCGAATTTTCCCAACTAATCATAGCTATGCTTATATTAATAACCCCTTCCCCCCGCGCCCACCCTTTCTTTTTGTCTGCTAATAATGGACCATATATGTTCCTGGCAGGTAATCAACCATGGAGTTTCTGTGGATTTAATGGATGAAACCATGAATGTTGCAGAGGAATTCCATGCAATGCCAGGCTTGGACAAGGAAAGGGAATGCTCCAAGGACCCAAACGGAAGCTGCAAGCTGTACACAAGCAGCTATGCTTATCCCAGGGAGGATTTTCACTATTGGAGGGATGTCGTGACACATCCTTGCCATCCTTTAGAGGAATGCATTCAATTTTGGCCTGAAAAGCCAACTAGATACAGGTAACCTATCAACTCATATAAACTTGATATGACATATGTAAAAACTTTAATTTCCAGCTTTTTGCATGAAATTCCTCGGTTTATTATGTGTTGACTTTGACAGTTTGACCTTTTTTTTTCTTCTTTTTGTTCATTTATTCAGAAAAGTGGTTGCAGCGTATTTGGTTGAATTAAGGAAGTTGAGTTGTAAGATTTTGGAGTTGATCTGTGAAGGATTAGGACTTAGCACCGGATATTTAAGCAGCCACCTCATTGAACTTCCAAAAATTATGATCAATCACTACCCTCCGTGCCCTGAACCAAGTTTGACACTGGGATTATCCAAACACCGGGACCCTTCTATCATCACCATTCTTCTTCAAGGCCGCATACAAGGGCTTCAAGTCTTCAAGGATGGCCAATGGATTGGCGTTGAACCTCTTCCTCATGCCTTTGTCGTCAATATAGGCTACCTGTTACAGGTACATATCTCTCAAATAATTTGTCAATTTTTTTTTCATATCTTTTTTTTTCCTTTTTGGTGTGGGTTTAATTAATTACTTGTTTAATTTATGGTAAATTTTAGATTATCAGCAATGGGAAACTCGAAGGAGCAGAACATCGTGTCGTGACGAATTCAAGAGATGCCAGGACAACTATTTCCTACTTTGTTTATCCTAGTGATCAAAGCCTCATAGAACCAGCAAAAGCTTTGGTCAATGCATGCAATCCTGCAATTCACAAAGCCTTCAAATTTGTTGACTTCTTTACTGCCTTCGTCCTCAAGCCTCACAATACTGCGCGCCCCCACACCCTTAATTGCTAGTCAAGTATATTATTATAGTTCTACTTCTGGTTCTAGTTCATATGCATTTGTGAATATATATGTTTTGCTTTGTTTTCTGATCATTCCAATCATCATCTTTGTCTGAAGTCAAATGGAGCGTATGTAGCAACAAAATCAAATTGTAACAAGGCTGCTGTAAACTACTACTGAGCTGGTTTGATTGGACAAATATTTTAGTAGTTATATATGGGCAGTTTGATTTAATTTGGAAGGTTATTAAATTTGATGGACAACCATTTATATGCTAAGGTGAACTAGTTATAGAATTGTATCATATATATGGATTAGATCTATACAATTTGATGAATTATGCAATAGGATTTTTCCTATTTCGATGAATTAGAATATATAAATTATTTAATGAATTTAATTACCATGAACAAAGCCAAAGTTAATATTTTTAAGAAAAATGCTACTTGTCTCTAGTGTATGCTTACTTATGTGGCATTAATTAATTGGTCTAATTCCAATATTTTACCATGAATTTGTATATGACCAATAATAATATATATTTTTTATACTTAAAATTGTCAAATCTTGAATTTGGATTACTAAAATTAAAAATTTAGTGCTCTACCAAGAAATCACATAAACCAATAACAATATCACTTGACCCTATTAATGATCACTAGTTATATGTTAATTGTTACAAAAGTGATTAAACATCAGTACAAATTAATAGTAATTGAGATAAAAGAAGTAAGGCATGCAAGCACAAAGCTATGTAGTTATGCCAATAAATTCTGTCACATAATTACTACTTCATCATTTAACCTAATATGGCAAATTGGCTACTGAGACTGATTAAAGAAAAAAAAAAGTTTATTGGCAATTAACTTTTGATTTATTTTTCTTTAAATTGAAGAATCCAAAATACTGCTAACATATTAATTAGTATTTTTCAGAACCGGTGATCAGCTCAACTTCTCAACTCCCCTATCATAAAATTGATTTGTCCTTTTGTTGTTGTGCAGAATATTTTGGTGAATTACTGTTGTGATTTGTTTTTTTTTTCATCAGAGAGTTGACCATGAAAGATAACCCACTGTCCTTGGGAAGAATTTGATTAAATTTTTTTTTTTACAAGGAAGACCCAGATTTAGGATTTTTTTTTTTTTGGCCAATCTCAGAATTAAGAGATTAGAAAAAGAAAAAAAATTACAATCCTTGGAAATCCAACCTCAATCTCATAAGAATTCATCTCTTAAAATAGTGGATAAATTATTTGAGTTAATAACCAAGTTCGAGATGACGGCGATTTAATATATTGCCTTGCCCAGATAAATACTTTATTTAAAATATATAGATAAATTAAAATATGCACACAAATTTATTATTACATCAATGATTTTTTTTTTTTTGAGAAATAAATTGGTTTTGATGTTTAAAAAGAAAAATAAAAGAATTCAGCTTATGCCATAATGGCACTACTATTTTCTTTTTTTATCGGTTGAGTACTTTTCTTTTATTGCTTTAAGGCAGCTATCCATCCATAAAATTTACTCCGTTGCTAATATAGAAACAGTCAACATCAACACGTCTCCATCTTGTAGAATTTATTTGTATCTCAAATTTTGTCTGCTTGGAGGTCGGTTTTCATTATAAAGTCATAGAAAATCCCCATAAATTTATTGGAAACTATCTTTTTTTTCTTCCTATCTCAACCAATAATTTATAATTCCTTGTTAGAGGAAATTTCTCTCCTCTTAACTTCCATATCCACTAAGGATATCGAAATGTTGAGTGGTTAATCACGCAAATATACGGATTGGGTCTGGCTAACTTGGCCCAACATGGTTGCCCAACCTGGAAATAATTTCTTTTTTTGTCTAATTAGTTTGTTCAACCATCAATATCAAGTGTCAATCATGATCAAGATTTCAATTAATAAAACATTAACTATATTATCATGATTACTTCATCAAAAAAATTATTATGATTGTTGTACAGTAATTGCAGAGTTAGATACCATTTTTTGGGGATTAATTTATGCGGATTCGCAATGATTTTGTGTAGAATAATTATTTGAAATTGTTTTCTGATATGTATATCTTGAATTTTATAGTTGTCTGAGCATCAAGGATGAGCTAGCAAGAAATTCCAAAGCAGAGCTCTATTGTTGTTAATAGTTTCTTAATAATACTATTTATCTTGTATAAATTACATCACAATTATCAAAATTAATCACAGTTCCACAGAACTTCACATTCAAGAGATGGAGAAGCTTGTTTCGAGCTGGTACAATGATAAAGCCTTGCCCCCAGTCTTACATATTCCCACCAGAAACAAGGCCCGGGAAGCATATCATTCCTAGATGGAATACTATTCAGGTAGTTGACCTCAGTAAGGCACTCTGTCGTGATCGAACCAACATAGTTCAACAGATTTCGAACGCTAGCCGAGAGTTTGTGTTTTTCTAGGTCAATAGCATTTGCTTTAGAAATCATAAGCTTTGCAGAGAACTGTATATCTTTTTTCTTACGTTTAATTTGTCCTGTGAAATTTTGAGTCAATATACTCCGTCAATCATCATCATTCTTCTTAAATAGGTAGTTAACCATGGAGTTTCGGAAAACCTGATAAATGACACCATGAATGTCTTCAAGGAGTTCTTTGGGATGCTAGCAGAGGACAAGGCCCGCGTCTACTCAGAGGATCCCAAAAAACCTTGCAAGCTTTACACTAACAGTTCAAACTATGATTGTGAAAAGGCTCACCTTTGGCGTGACAATCTGAGAACCCCCCTGTCATCCTTTAAAAGAATGTATCAAAATTTGGCCTGAAAAGCCAACTAGATACAGTAAAACCCTGCACTTGTATATAGGGTTGTTGTTTGTCATTTCTCTTTCCTTCATTCCTTTTCTCAATACATTATTGTCATTACCGTTACAGGGAAATTATCGCTACATATTCAATTGAAGCAAAGAAATTGGGTTTAAGGATCCTGGAATTTGTTGCTGAAGGCTTGGGGCTTGAATCAGGGCACTTTGAGGATAAATTAAGTGAATCACTGTTACTATCAGCGAACCATTACCCACCATGCCCGGATCCAAGCTTTAACCCTTGAAGTACCTAAACATTGTGACCCCAACCTCATAACTATTTTACATCAGGGAGATGTACATGGGCTTCAAGTCTTCAAGGATGGGGAATGGAATGGTGTTAAGCCTTTGCATAACGCATTAGTGGTTAACATAGGCCACCAGTTGCAGGTATATCTCCATTCCTTAATTAATTATGTTGAAGGCTGTTAATGTCTCTGTTGATCCCTTCCAAATAAGATGCAGTTATCCTGTAAGATCAACTAAGTTGGTAACTAAATAGATATAAATTTGCAAATTTCTAATTTTCAATTTTCAAACTCACCACATGATTGGATTAGGCCAGCACCAATATCAGGAGTTTCTATAAATATAAGATTCATCACATTTGTTGGAAAAAAAGGAAAGGAACAATTCGTGCCCATTGTTGCAAGAAATATATATGTTACAATTAGCTAAAATGTAATGTAGCTATGGTAGATTAAGGATGGTCATTTGGGATTGAACTACTATGTGACTGACGAATATTTGTTGGTTTGTCCTTTGCACAGATGATCGGCAACAACAAGGTGAAGAGTGCTGAACATCGGGCAGTAACAAACTAGACAGTTGCTCGAACAACAGCTGCCTTCTTTATCGCCCCCTCTGATGATTGCATTATAGAGCCTGTTAAATCTCTTATCAATGCATACGATTCTCCACTTTACAGGGCTTTCCTATTCAAAGAGTTTCAACTTAACTACGCATCAGTGACGGAGACCCCTAAATTGAAACGTTTTAAATTACATGCTTGATAAATATATAGTGTATCTCTGGATCACCCCACATCTCCATAACTTACCTCTTGTAGTTGAATCAAAGTGTGATTTGATGATTATGGCAAAGACACTTTGCTATGTACTTTGAATGTGTTGGGTGGACTGATTGCAGTTTGATAATTGAAAACATGATTGGGCCTACGCAATATTAAATTTAACAAATATATAAATATATATATGTATATTTATATATTGCTATAACCTTTCATTGGCTCTTGGCCTTGCATCATCCTTCCATTACTTATACCTTAACCTACTCATTTTGATTCTTGTGAATCGGTTTTCTTTTTTAATTTCTAAAACTGTTTTTACCTAAACCATCGACCAATCAATACTAGCCGACTTTGTTAAAAATGAAAATCATCCACTGACATGTTCAAATACCAAGTGTCAGTCATAATCATGGTTTTATATATAATTAATATCCACGGGGAAACGTGTTTAGGATTGTCATCCAGCTATTGCAGAATCAGATTCCAACTTCCTCTTTTGTTTAACTTTATGAGATTGGAAGACTTGCATAATAATGTTTGAAAATACCATTTATGTATCTTGGAAACTTGGTAATTGTGATCTGACTATGATGGATAGCAAATAATTCAACTAAGAGCCCTATTATTTTGATGAAATCTTAGTACACCATTATAAATATATCTCAATTTGTTTGGATCATCACTTGCATCATTAACCAGATTAATTATTTCATAGCATAAATTCATATGCCTCTGTAGAAGTTAAAGCATTAATGGAGAAGCTTGTTTCAAACTGGTGCAAGGATCAATCTTTGCCCCACTCTTATATTTGCCCACCAGAAACAAGACCTGGCAAGCTTAGCATTTCTAGTGGTGATACCATTCCAGTTGTTGACCTTGGGGAAGCATCAATTCATCGAAGTAATACAATTCAGAAAGTTTTGAAGGCTAGCCAAGAGTTTGGTTTTTTCCAGGTTCAGACTCTACTTTTGGTCTAACCTAACTGCATGTACAACTTTTATTCCAATTTTATGTTGGAATTTTTCCCATGTATATGATCTTAATTCATTGATTTATTTTGTTTGATTTGTTTTACTTCATTTAATATCGATATAATTTTTCTATGTTTGTAAAATCGCTTAAATTTTACTAATTTTTTATTTTGTCCTATGAAATGTTAATGCTTGATCATCTTCATTCTCGCTTCTTTTTTTTTTTTTTCTCCTTTTCGTTTTCTTTAAAATAGGTTGTTAACCATGGAGTTTCTGAAAACGTATTGAATGACGCCATGAACGTCGTCAAGGAATTCTTTGAGATGCCTATGGAGGACAAGGCAAGCTTCTACTCCGAGGATCCGAATAACGTCTGCAGGCTTTACACAAGCAATATAAATTACGGTTGTGAAAAGTTTCACTTTTGGCGTGACGCTTTGAAACACCCTTGTCATCCTTTAGAGGAATGCATTAAACTTTGGCCTGAAAAGCCAACTAGATACAGGTAATTAGGCCTGATCATATCACAACCACGCTTCACCAGTTCTTTTCTTTTGTTTTTTTAATTATCAATCTTACTCTTCTCAATCCTGTATAGAGAGGTTATCGGAACATTTTCAGTTGAAGCAAAGAATTTGGGTTTAAGAATCCTGGAGTTGCTTTCTGGGGGCTTAGGGCTTGACTCTGGGCACTTGGAGGGGGATCTGAGTGAAGCTCTGCTACTAGTGGCTAACCATTACCCACCATGTCCGGATCCAAGCTTAACCCTTGGATTACCTAAGCATTGTGATCCAAACCTCATTACCATTCTACTTCAAGGAGATGCCTATGGACTTCAAGTCTTCAAGGATGGAGAATGGATTGGTGTTGAGCCTCTGCCTAATGCATTTGTAGTTAACTTAGGCCACCAGTTACGGGTATAATATTTTAACTTCCATTCCTTGAATATGTCGAATTGGAAAAAATGGGTATTTTTTCCACATTGCTGACTCCAATTATTTATATTAGTTTTCCAAAACTATCACATGATTAAATTAATCAAGGCAGTTGCATTACATATATATGATTAAAATAAAAAAATATATATAGATAATTTCAATTAATAATATTTTTTGCATGAAATTTGTTACATTTAGAGTGTACTGTAACTTATAGTTAAATCTGTTTAAAGGTTAGATTGTTTGTTTAAATTTAAAAGTTTATTCAAATTTTAAGAGGATTTGAATAATAAAATAAAATTCATTAAACGAATTTAAATATAATTTTTAAATCCATTTAAATTTTGAATGAACTCATTTATAAAGATTTTTAAAGCTATATTAATATAAAGAATTTAAAACTATATTAATTATATAAAATATAATATTTTAATTAAATTTAGACTTGATCCAATTCTAATAAATTATATTAATTAAAATATTATTATTATATAAGTATATATATGTGAATTTTTATTTTTTAATTTTTTTTTAATTTTTATTATATAAATTAAATATAAATGGTAGATTTGAGATTTATTTTTTAATTTCAATCAGATTTTAAAAAGTTTTGAAATCAAAATACCAAATCAAATCTAACTTAAATAAATATATAAATTATTAATATTAAGTATGAATTCCACGAAACCTCCGACATAACCTGACTCATAAATACTTCTACTTATGGTTATAAACTTATGAATGTAGATAGACTAATTTTTCTTGTTGATTTGGCATAGATTGTCAGCAACAACAAACTGAAAAGTGCTGAACATCGCGTTGTGACCAACTCGGAGGTTGCTCGAACAACCGTTGGCTTGTTTATCAGTTCTTCTGATGATAGCATTATAGAACCAGCAAAATCTCTGACTAATGCAGGCAACCCTCCACTATATAGAGCTTTTCAATACAAAGAGTTTCTAAGTAGCTACTTCTCCACGGTGGGAGACACTGAGTTAGCCCTACGGCCTTTTAAGTTGCAATTTAATCAAAGCGTGATTTAATATGGTACCATATATAATTCCTTGTAATTAATTTAATTTCACTTTACAATATTGCATCTTCATTTCCACAAAATACTGAAACAAAAAAAAAAAAAAAAGTAGAAGGAATTGTACTCTTCATTCTTTTCTCCCTTCATTTGATGATATTTTTATCTTAACTTTGTTAAAAGTTTTCTTTTAGTATATCTTAGTTTTAGAAAAAGAACTATCATACATACATATGCATTCATTTGCATAGTTGTTCATCATATTACTATTGAAACAAAAACCTCAGTGGTGGAGGCTAATATTTAAAATTAAAAAATGATCAATGAAATATAAATAAATTAATATTTCTTTATGTTTATCATAGATTTTACAAAATTATTCTGCCTATAAACTATTTCAGGATATAATTGATATTTGACTAATTCAGGATTAAGGTTAAATCACTAGTCAACAATTTGCTCTTGAATGGAGAAAATTAAAGGAAAAAGATTTTTAAGAAAAGAATTGCTCTTGATTTGGGCAAAATCAAAGATTTTATGAGTTGTCAACAGTACTTTTGTGTTCGATTCAATAGCGGAATTTTTTTGGATGGTTAAGGAAAATAATGGATCGACTCGGACTAACTAAGGCACCAACTTTAATTTAAGTCTTGTTGGTTAGAGAAGGATTTATGGTTTAAGATAAAATATTTAAGAATATTTTCAAAGAATAAAAAATTAAAAAAAATTTTCAAAACACTCCTACAAAAATCCTGATTACATCGTTATTGTTAGTCTAATTAGTTTATTCAGCTGTCAACTTTCGATCATGATCATGGCCATAATTATGATACTATTAATGTTATGATCGAGTTTTGGTAATTGCAGAGTCAGACTGCAATTTCTTTGTAATTTATAGTATATTAGTTTGCCAGACTTTGTAAAGATTAATGCTTTGAAAATGACCATGCCATAATGTGTGCGTGGAAATCTTGGATTTTCTCTCTTTCTTATATCATGGATGAGCTAAGCTATCGATCAATTCCAAAGCTGAGCCCGATTATTACAACATAAAATTTATGTCTTGCAATCAGTCACATTTTAACCCAAATTATTAATTTCGTAATCTGTATTTTATATTGTCACTACAAATAGAAGTGAACTAAAAAATTTTTAAAAATAAAATCAAATAGCAAAATCAGAAATATAAAAAAATAAAATAAAATAATAATTTTATTTAAAAATTTAATAATATTTTTGGTAAAATAAATTATTTTATTACAATGATGTAAAAATAATTTTGAGGGACTATGATTCCTGCCAGCCCCCCTAGCTACGCCCCTTGCTACAGGATTGATCACAATTCACAAAAACTTCACATTCAAGAGACGGAGAAGCTTGTTTTCAAGCTGGTGCAATAGTAAATTGTTGCCCGAGTCTTACATATTCTCACCACAAACAAGACTCGGCAAGCTTATTGTTCCTAGTGCAAATTACAATACCGTTCCAGTAATTGATCTCAGTCAAGTTGAAGCTCAAAATCAAACCAATATAGCTCAGCAGAATTTTGAAGGCTAGCGACGAGTTCGGATTTTTCCAGGCTAACACAATGAACTCGCTCTGGAGCCTTTCAAATTGCAAGCTTAATCAACAGTACCATGACAGAAATTATGTAAGAAATATGATGCGACAAAAAAAAAAAAAAAACCTTACAATTTGCACACCCTTTCCCCTTTGTTAGTGAATCATAATGTGACGATAGATAATGAATCTTGAATGAGGATGAAAATTTATCAAGTAAAAGTTTTTTTAATCAATTAGTCATAAACTTCATTTCCACTTATAAAACTCATGCTTTAGTCAAGGACGACACGTCATCTCAATTTTTTTTTTTTTAGAGAAGATGAATTAGAGCTTTTCCTTCAAATTTAAAAATGCTAAATATACCTATAGCAAAGATTTAAATATTTTATCACTCTTGACTTTAATCAAAGGTGGAGGAGAGTTTTTAGTATCAATTTAAGATTTAACTCATATAGCACGCTCAATTTAAAAGAAAAGGAAAAAGGAAATCCTTCAAATATATAATTTAATGCGTGCAGAACCAAAAGTTTCATCTATCAATGGTCGATGCATTAATATATGCATTCCTTTAGGCTTCAGTACTTTCATTTCGGGTATATATGAGTTTGGGAATATAACATTTACTACCAACTTATAGTCAACTAATCACTTTTCACTTCCATACATTCAAATTAGATCATCATTTTAATTAGTAAAATATATAAAAGTTAAAATACTAAAAAAAACTTGTAAACTATTTCACGTTTCTTAAATATGCTCATATATTTTTATTCTACTCAAACAAATCCTTATTTTTTATTTATATTCAAATAAATTTTTATTTCAAATGAAAGATTAATTTATATTAAATGCTTATTTAGATACTAATTAAAGGTTACAAAACTATTTGGATATAAATTAAAAGTTAAAATTTTTTTTATTATAAATTAAAGATTAAAGGTTTATTTTGGTATAATAAAAATATGAGAATTTATCTAAGTAAAGTGATAAAATTCAAAATTTTTATTGTTATTTTAACCTAAAATAAATATATAAACAAAGACATTATTCTAAATCACAAAAAAAAAAATGTCTTTAAAGTTGATAGTATTTTTTTTTTTGGATCAAATTGAAATTTAAAATGAAGATATACTTGATTTTATGTTTTCAATTTTGGTTCATTTTTACCTTTCACGTTTGTATCTTTTGAATTTGAGTTAGTTCAAGTTTGGGCTCTTTCAAGTTTTATAATTGTTTCAAGTGTTAGGTTTAGATTGTTATAGTTTTAACTTAAACCTCTTTGGATTTCATATTATTCAAGTTCATTATTCAAATCCTTTTTTTTTTTTTATGCATTCAAATGAATACCCACAATTAATGATTTAAATTATACAAGAATTGCTCAAATGAAAGATGGTTTAGCTTGCTAGTTTTGCGAACCGTAGGTTCTTATTATCCTTATTGGATTGATAAAGTAAAATCTTATTTATCGTATTCTTGTGCCCTTTTGCTTGTTTTGTTCACCAATCAAGCGTCAGTCATAATCAGGTTTTGTCTAAATTATTGTCGGGCAAAGTTTTCTGATTGTTTCTTTTATACCGGTCGACTGCAGGGTCATTATCTTTTTAATAAAAAATGGAGGAGAATACAAAGGAACACCTTGTTATATCTGGCAATAATACATATCTTGGAACTTATAATTGGCTGATCATCCAGGGCAAGCTTGCACAAGGCAAATCTCATAGAAGATCACGGAAAATTTTTTTTTAATTCCTCAATACCATTATAAATTTATCTCATTATGTCTCGATCAATGGCATCATACCAGCTTATTTCCTTACAATAAAATTTATATTTCCTTTGGAAGATTGATCATTCATTTTACAAAAATCAAGTTATGGAGAAGCTAGTTTCAAGCTGGTATAAGGATCAACCTTTGCCTGAGTCATATATATTCCCACCAGATAAAAGGCCTGGCAAGCTTCTTGTTCCAAAATCCAATACCGTTCCAGTAATTGATCTCGCTGATAATCGAACTGATATAATTCAGCAAATGTTGAAGGCTAGCCTAGAGTTTGGATTGTTTCAGGTTTCCACGAAAAATACATTTATGGATTCCTTACAACCAGTTGCTTCTAGTTTACAATGATATCTCTATATTCAATTAATTCAGTTACTCTGTTTATTTTCCTTGTTCTTAAACAGGTTGTTAACCATGGAGTTCCAGAAAAAATTATTAGTGAAACCAGGAGTGTTTTCAAGGAGGTTTTTGAGATGCCAGCAGAGGACAAGGCAAGCCTGTACTCGGGAGATCCAAGTAGATGCAAGCTCATCACTAGCACTTCAAATTATGATAGTGAAAAAATCCACCTTTGGCGTGACAATCTAAAACACCCTTGTCATCCTTTAGAGGAGTGCATCAAATTTTGGCCTGAAAAGCCAACCAGATACCGGTAATTAAGGCCTACAGTCAGTTATGGCCCAGTGACTTTGATCTTCTAATCAAACTTTCACTTCTTAATAACTTTGCAGAGAGGTCGTTGCAGCATATTCAATTGAAGCAAATAAATTGGGATCAACAATCCTGGAGTTGCTTTGTGAAGGCTTGGGCATTGAATCTGGGTACTTTGAGGACAAACTAAGTGAAAAACAGATGCTATCATTTAACCATTACCCACCGTGCCCTGATCCAAGTTTGACTCTAGGAATTCCTGCACATTGTGACCCCGGCATCTTAGCCATTCTACATCAAGGAGATGTATGTGGGCTTCAGGTATTCAAAGATGGGGAATGGATTGGTGTTGAGCCTCTTCCTAATGCATTTGTAGTTAACATAGCCTACCAATTACAGGTATATATATATATATCCATATTTCCATTTCCTTAATTTAGATGGTATTGTCTTATAATAAGATAAAGATCAGTTGAGTGCAATTGGGGGAAATGCTAGCTCTTAATAATTTTAACAAGATCCAAGGTGTTGGAGCCAATATTTGCATGAAACTTGTATAACATTCAAACTACTAAATAAAACTACCAGTACAAAGTTAAATATTAAGTTTGTTGGGATAATAGGTGCAGTGTCATGACTAATTTCCTTCATTGATTCACATAGGTAATCAGCAACAACAAGCTGAAGAGTGCTGAACATCGGGCTGTGACAAATTCGAGTGATGCTCGAACATCAGTTGTCCTCTTTATCAGTCCTTCTGGTGACAGTATTATAGAGCCTGCAAAATCTCTAATTACTGCAACCAATCCCCCACTGTGTAGACCTTTTCAATCCAACGAGTTTCTGGTTAACTTCTTACCCACGGGGAAAGCTGATTTAGCTCTACAGCCTTTTAAGCTCAAAACTTAATTATTATCAACTTGAAAATTAATTCAGTTGATTTACGAAACCAAAGTTGATATTCAATAATTTAGAGATTCAAATCCCAATTTGTGCAATCCTTTCTTCTGTGTTCAACTGCATCTTCCTGTAATGAAAATTAGTATTATATATTGGGATATCATGTTTCATTGGAATCTAGCTCTTTTTGCTGCTGAGTACACCTTGCTAAATTGAACTTTCTTTTTTTGGAATATTTCCAAACTAAATCATCTTTCCGTTTTCAATTACCTATTTTTTCCATAAAAAATCATACCGTTTTTTTATAATTTTTAGGATTTTGGCATAATTATGAAATTTTTATTAAACTGTATGCCAAATCAAAGTAATAATGCTTGATTAAGAAACAACTTCCCAAAATATTAAAAAAATATATATACTACAATTAACATGAATTTTTACTAAAATAATTATCTAATACATCATCGGTGAAAATTTTGAACTTCATAAATGAAATTAAAACTATATCACTTTAGTTTATTCATCATTTAAAATATGTGGCAATTCGCTAATTTTTAATAAAATTTCTAAAATAAACCCTTTAAAATTAAAAAGCAAAAGCTGATTTGTATAGCTGGGCCCAAGCCCGCAACCCAATATTCCACATTGGGAACCAACTTCGTACGCTAAAAGATCTCTCCATCTCCCACAAAAAACAAATAAGTAAAAAATTTGACTTTCCAGTGTTTTGGTCCTTCTCGTTTCGTCTCGCTCTACTCGTACATACCAAAACCTTCGAGAAAGTCAAAGAAACAGGGAGAGGCAAATTTGGGTTTCTTGAAAACGACCCAGCATCCGAAGGTAATCAATTAACTTACTGGTTTGGTCGCTTTATTAATTGATCAAGAATGAGAAAGAAATTCGGAATCTGTTTTGCTTGTTTTTTAGTCTTGACTTCAACTATGCCGGTGCTACTTATTTTGATCTGATTTAATTGAAAAAAAAAAATAACTTTTTCTTTAACACCAATGATGGATTTTCAAGTTTGAGATTTGAGGTGATCATAATTGGCAAGTAATTAAATTGATTCTTTCAAGTAGTGGTTGCTTAGTTACCAAAAAAGAAAAGTCTGGATTTGGATGCTTAATGAGGCATTAGGTACTTGTTATTGTGCTATTTTTCAGTTATTTTTTCAAGTTTGACACTTTTCTTTCTTGTTCAAATTACTGAATGTGCATGTAGTTCTTTGCATTCTTTTTGTGTGTTTTGAGCCTTTCTGCTATAGTTTTTTTTTTTTTTTTTTTTATGCACAATGTCCTTTGCAACTTAGTAAAAAAAAAAAATTTCCATGCTAATTCTTCTTCCTGCATTGCAGTCAATGCAATTCTATACAAGCTTGATACTTTCTTTCAATGCCAAAAGTTTTCTTCTCTACGAGGCAATGTAACACGTAAACTATTAAGTCAGATTGCTTCAGTGTGTCTAAACAAAATTTTATGTCTTTGTAGCTTCATGATTGTACTGTCTTAAAACCAGGTAGTGGTTGATGCACTATGCTTTGCTGTTTCAAGATACACGTCTACAATATTATCTTTCAGGCGCACTGTTGGTTGTTATTCAATCTCCTAGTATTTTGCCTTTTCTGGTTCTGTAGTTGTAATGAACTGAGTAACACTACTTAAGGACTTTATCATGGCCCTCTAGGTTTAGTTCAATGAGTTCAAATATTATTTTGAAAATTGGCAACTGTCCTTAGAACATTGTGTGACATTTTTAATGTATAAACTCTTGAACCATGTTTTAAAATGTTCAATGAGCTAATACATTTCTTAAGGTCCACATCATATTCGGTTGATTAGATTTTCAAATTTTCCATAATTATATTATGTTATTTTATGTTATGAACTGAATTTCAATTTTTTTTTCCTCCATTTTGACAGGTCTTACAGATTTCAAATCTTTATAAGGTTTGATATGAAGAAAATTAGTGGGAGGGTGATCCAGATATATGGCAACTTAGTTAGCTTCTTGCGGAAATGCATTTTTTTCATTCTTTCTGTTGGTGCCATCCCTAATCATATTGCATTCATCATGGATGGGAATCGGAGATACACAAAGAGGTGGAATTTGATGGAAGGAACTGGCCATAAAGTTGGGTTTTTGGCTCTCATGTCTATGCTCAAGTACTGTTACGAATTTGGTGTGAGATATGTAACAATATATGCCTTCAGCATTGACAATTTCAGGCGAAGTCCTGAAGAAGTTCAATCTTTGATGGACCTGATGCTAGAAAAGATTGAAGAGTTAATCAAGGAAGAGAGCATTGTCAATCATTATGGTGTTAGAGTTTACTTTTCTGGGAACCTGAAACTCTTGAGTGAACCAGTTAGGTTGGCAGCTGAGAGAGCTATGCTTGCCACCGCTAAGAATTCCAAAGCAGTTTTGTCTATTTGCATTGCTTACACTTCCACCAATGAGATAGTGCATGCCATTCAAGAATCATGCGAAGAAAAATGGGATGAAATTACTGTACTGAATTCAAGTGGAGCAGGTTATGGTTTAATCAGACTCGGAGGGAATGAACATGATGAAAGGGATTACCTTATAAAACTTACTGATATCGAAAGCCATATGTATATGGCAGTTGCTCCTGATCCTGATATCATAATACGTACATCTGGTGAGACACGTCTGAGCAATTTTCTTTTATGGCAGAGTGCAAACTGTTATTTGTATTCTCCTTCAGTGCTTTGGCCAGAGATTGGTCTTCGTCAATTTCTATGGGCCATATTGAATTTTCAGCGGATTCACTTTTACTTTGACAACAAAAGGAAGCAGTTGTAAAATCCTTCCATATGATGATTTGCTTTGTTTATGGGAAGTTTTTTATCATCTTTGGTAATGGTAACAGATTCCACCATAAGCTTGGACTTGCTTTTGGTACCCTTACTGTTGTTATATACCTTAGTATACAAAAATCAATTGATTACATTTGCAGGAACTTCTTACATGCTTGGATGTCTATGAACAAGCAAAGTGCTTCTGAGTTGTATACTGACAGACAGTAATACGCAATAGGCTAAGAGGATGGAGCAAAGAATTTTATTACACTTTGTTGGGGGTTTATGATTGGGTCTGTAACCCATGCAATGATCTGTTTTCATCTAGAACTGATGATTGTGCTATTTCTTTCATTTTTCTTTTTCTCTTTCATTTTTTGTCCTTTATTATTAAAGCTGAGATATGCATGTGCTTGGTAGGCTTAACATGTGTTCAGCTTTTATGTAAAACTGCATTGATACCTGATCGAACTTGCATTGCATAAGTTATACTCTTACTTGGACAGTTTCTTTGATTTTATATTTAACCATCTACAAGAAACCCAAGGCTGAATAGGTATACCTTTCAACTTCATATTTTGTTGGAAATAAGTATGTTGCTTTCAAAGTTACTGAAATTAGTAGTATGTCTTAATGTGGCTTGATATTATCTTGGTTGAAATTTTCCTATTATAAGTTAGTTTAACAGCAATAGTGTATTACTAAAATTGGCATTCTTGTTTTAAGAATATACCATTCAAGTTGTTCACCGCCATCAAAGTTTTCCGTTATGTTGATGGCTTAAGATGCATCTGCAGAGGGCCTTCTGATGTCTCATGCAGAGCAGGTTGGTTCTCCCTATTTTTTACTATTCAGAAATCTTCTCATCTTGAGATCTTAAGAACTTTTTTTAAAATTTTATCCTCAAATTTTCAGTTTTGTAAGTCTTTACTCCTTACAGGTTTGTTTTTTGTATTGAGTAGCTGCAAATAATGTGAGAGGGGCAGCCAGGTGCATTGTACTTGGAACATGGAATTGCCTTCATGGTAAAAGGATAGTATTTAAAATATCTGGTGCATGCATATTAATGGTAACATTCTCTTTCTTGAAATTCCTTGCCTTTTCCTTTCTGCTAGAAATTATCAGGACCTATCGCCAATCAATTACAAAAATTCATTTTTTTTATTTCCATATTCTCAATAGAAGAAACGTTTTTCCCGCTGTTCATAATGATCCTTTCAGCCCTGTCCCAGCAGCCCAACTTTTTCTTGTTTTGATTTTGTGGCGTTTTGCATTTGGTTTGTTCTGCTTCGGCTTTCTGTTATTCTAATGGTACTTTAAAATTATCACTAACATAGTGAACAAACGCCAAGTTTTCATTCGTTTTATCAATTTACTGTTGTTCAGCTTTTGGCCAAGTTTCTCTTTGATAATTTGAGGAAGATGGCTGTGCCAATTTTCTATGGAAGGTTTATCTTGATGTGGTCCATGAAGAAACAAAACTATAGAGGGATTCGGGTTAGTAATTTCTTAGCCCCCTAGGTGAATTATTACTGTGGGGCAACCCATTAGTGTATTCTAATGCAGTACCTGGCATTATCTTATGCGAATCAAAGACATTGTTACATAATTTAAGTGCTAGGTAGAATAAAAAAGACCATCATTATCATGTCAATATCCAACTACTGTATAAGCATAAAATTATGGTAATGGATTCCAGCTAAGAATAGCAACACCTCGTGTTTTTCAAGTAGAGAGCTTTTACAAAGCAAAAGTAGTTCAAGCACATGCGTTTCTTTCTCGAAGAAGAGATCAAATCTCGCCAAATTTATAGCTCTACGCTCCCTTGTAGCGGCTGTCATTGACCATTGTGTCCGTTGATAACGTTGAAAGAAACCCAATTAAACTTCAGAGAAAACTTCGATAAAGGATGGGAATTGATCGAATATCCGTTATTTACCTAAATTTTTTACTTATTCGTACTGGAAATCATTTAATATTTATAATAATTAAACTTATTTAAATATTTATATAAGTTTAATATTATTATTCATATTTGATTCTATTAAAATAAATATATTTGAATTTATTAAAATATTTTGTAAAATTATAAAATTAATAAAAATTTAATTTAAAATTAATGTTCATTTTTTATTATTAACAAATAAAGATTATTTGTTCTTTATTTGTTAAAGTTTGAACTTTTTTACAAATATAAAATTTTTTATATTTTACATATATAAATAGATAATAAATTTAGATATGAATTTGAATATTCATTATTTTTTTATTAAAATTTACATAAATTCGAATATTGAATATTTATTGGATATTATTTATATTTTATTGAAATTCATTACGAATAATAAATTTTTTATTTAAATCTATTAATTACTTATTTATAATTATATAATTTCAATATAAATAAATCAAATAAAAATAAATATTTATTTATTTACTATCCATTATCATTTTTAAGTTCTATTCCCTTCATCTTAGCCAGGCAGGCTTCCTTCGATGTCTCGTCAGCTTTGGAACGCGTTTTGTAGAGAATCAATTTGGTCAAGGTAGAATTCAAGAAACCCAAAGGATAACTAAATAAATAAATTTTTAATTTTTATTATATGAAATTAAGATTAAAAATTTTTATTTTATTATAATTAAAATTTTAATGTTATAAAATATTTATTTTTGTTTAAAATTTTTTAATTAGATGATTTAATTTATAGAAAATATTTATTTAAATTTATTTAAACGTGTTAAATAATAAATATTTTTAAAATATTATTTTAAAATTTTTATTAATTAAACATTATTTATTTAATTTTAAATTTTAATAAAAATTTATAATAAAATAAAAATTTATAATTTTAATTTCATATAATAAAAAATTAAAAATGTATTTACATTTTGAAATAAAATTTAAAATTTTATTTAGATATTAAGCCAAACCCAAATAAAAGATTATCATACTCCCTTCCAATGAAAAAGTACACTACATAATATCGCGTGGAAATGTTGATGTGTCCCTCATAACAGAAATCATTGACTTATAGCCTTTTATTCACAAGTCGGGTGGCCCCACTTCCCAAATTTCTCTCTTTTTTTTTCCAATGAATTTTTCTCATCGTCTCCTCTTCCATCCTCTAAAGATGACGACCATAGCTGGTGGGCTAACGGCTTCTAAAAAAACGAAAAAATCTGAAAGCCGAAACCAGAATAAGCGAAGTCCGCAAAAGTTTTGTTTCAATGGGTCGACTACCTGAGTGGCTCTTCTCCTTCCATGAATCTTTTGAAACCAAGTGGAACGATTTACCAGGACCAATGTTGATTACGAGCCTCCATTCCCCCTATACACTTCAACTAAAATTTCATTTTCTGAATGACCGAAAGCAGGATGGACAATACTTGCCTGAACATGAGAATATTATTTGTTGGACTCGTTCATTCACTTTTTTAGTGTCTACAATTACTATCTCACGAATTCAAACTAACAAAAACTTTCTTGTTTATTGCAAATTAAACTCTAATCAACCGATTATACGATCCTTTGCTTCCATTGTCCTATAAGCGCCATTAAACATATAATTGTCTGCTTCTTTCTGAATCCTACTACCTTCATCTGTTGTCTCCATTACAGCTTGTTTAAGAACTTTGATTCCATTTTTATGATTCAATTATTTTCCATCATCATCATCAAGTGACACAAGGGGTCAATGGCATAAGCATAGTGATCAGACATGTTGACGCAATCAAATTACCTCATCCCCAATAGAAAACATGACAATTACATACAGCATAACATCATACGAATCAAATTCTGAGGTAAGCCATCCGATCTCACCCCGGAAATGGACTTGAAGAGACGTTGAATTAAGAAATTAGTTTTCCGGAGGACCAGATCCAACCTCATTATTTCTATGTCTATATCCTACTATTATTTCCTGATTTAATTAATCAAACCATAACTAAATATTATGCAGATGACACTGCATATAGCAGACGTCATGGACTGACATCATCAATAACATCATTTATGCCACGCAAAGGGAAAATATCCTATGAATATTCCAAAAGAAATAGTTCTTGTTTTATCCTAAACATTGTTGTTTTGAATCTATTAAGGAATAATTAATTGAAATTATTAGCGTATCCCTTGTGATATCACCACCATCTTCAACCTGTTTGAATTGACAGGGAAAAAAAATAATGAATTGAAAAAGAACAATAAGATTAAACATTTGCAAACAATTTGTGAAACTAATGCTCTGTCATTGCCTGAATCATCAATATTCGTTGCACCAAAATCTATCCGTGTCTGAAAGGTCTTTAGCACGTTGAATGCTTGTTGGCGTTCGTTGATTGGACGGTTTAAATCAACCTTTCCATTTTTTATACATGGCCCAATTGTGTGCGTTTGCCACCTAGTATAAATGCCAAAGTGAAGCCACTGATCTCTTTCAAGCTCAAACAACACCATGAAAGAAGACAACAAGAAGAAAGTGAGCGAGGGAGAGCCCAGCGTTCGATATAGAGGTGTTAGAAGGCGGCCTTGGGGAAAATACGCTTCTGAGATTCGGGACTCGAAGAGGCAAGGAGCTCGGCTGTGGCTGGGAACTTTTGAGACAGCAGAGGAGGCTGCGCGAGCTTATGACAGAGCTGCTTTTTCAATGAGGGGTCCCTTGGCTATTCTCAACTTCCCAGGCGAACGTCTGATTTCACCCACAACTGTTAATTCTCTTCCTCCCCCATCTTCCTCTTCTTCTTCTGCTTCTTCTTCTTCTTCTTCTTCATTCTCTGAAAATGCGGAAAGTAGGACGGACCATGAAAAGGAAGTTCTGGAATTGGAGTATTTGGATGATAAATTGTTGGAGGAACTGCTTGATTTTGAGAATTATGAAACCAAGAAAGGATGAAACAGTTTTAGACTTTTAGTATTGCAGAAGGGGCTTCAGAATTCCTACTTTTCAAACAGGATTAGTTACATTTTCTCTGCAAAACAGCATTACAGTTCCATTTCTATCTCTTCTTCTTTGTAGATATGACTTGCTTTAATAATAAAAAAAACTGGTTCACTTCTTACTTGAATATGAACCTGTAAATATTCAGATTTCTTTGTCAATTTCGGCCTCTATCTTTCCTCGGAAAAAGTAGTTGGAAGCACTGCAATAGGGCCCCATATGGCGACTCTGAGTTGACTTTTGCTTAGATTTGGCTGGGTTTTAGTTTTAATCTATCTATACTTTAATATTGGTTTTCTTTTGTCAAACAAGAATACCCTTCAATTGAATTATGTTGAATCGGTTGATGCGGCACACTCATGTCACGGATATAAGAGTCTTGAATTTTATATCGAACATAAAAAAAAGATCAATAAGGTATAAAAAGATTCATATCATTTTTTATTTGTGAAATATTTTCTGTAAAATAAAATCATGAAGTCAGAGAAAGTCAGAATGGATAATATTTCATAAAAGTATAAATTGTGACAGGTAGATTAATCTAAAACATCGGATGAGTGAATGTCTAGATCCCAGAGTAACGCGGGTTCAAAGCTTAAGTCTCAATCCATGACAAGTGGTATCAAAATCAGGCCTAAACCATTCGATCCACGTCAAACATCTCGATGGAGGTAGACAGAGTTGCCAACCTCGGTGACGAGAGCGTCACGAGATTGAGTGAAAAAAAATATCACGAATCTAAATATCTCATAAAAGTATGAACCGTAATAAGTAAGTTAATTTAAGATACTGAATGAGTGGATGCTCAAATCTCAAAATCGCTTAAATTTAAAACTTAAGTCTCGACCCATTACACTTACACTATTATCCATAAGTCTAACCTTTTTTGCTCGAATTCATTTTATCCACAGCATGTGATTTTGTCCTTGAGAGCTGTCACGCGCTACTCTTGGACTTTCCATCACCCCGAGTCTCTGTTTTATGTTAAAGAAGATAAAACTATTTTCCAATGCAATTGCAGTTTCAATAATAAAGATTAGAAAAGAATGAGAAATCATAAACGAGTTAATGAAATTTTCCTTCTTACAATGGAAAACAGCGATAAATTATTTCCATGGTTGATTAATCCAACATTAAAGAAACTCTGTCAAAAGTTTCATTCGATCTATCGGCGTTGCCTATCATCTTGCGTTTCAAGAAGATCCTCTAAAAATTTGTTATCCAGGTACTCAAATTCTATAACCTCACTTCCTAGTCCTCTAGGGGGATTCCCTCTGCCAATCGAGTAAGTAGATGAAGAAGCTAAAAAAGGTGGAAAGGTTAGACTCTGATACTGGAACTCGTTTGGGAAGTTGAGAATAGCTGATTGACCCCGGAAAGTAAAAGTTGCCCTGTCATATGCCCTTGCAGCCTCTTCAGTCGTCTCGAAAGTGTTACGCCTAAAGCAGTAATCACAACAATACAGAAACAATAGACAACAATCAATAATCAAAGACGCAGAAAAAATAACGCACACCAAGATTTACGTGAAAAACCCTCCAGTGTAGAGGAAAAAAATCACGGACCACTAAAAAAATCTTCACTATCAAATAATAGGTATACAAAGTTCTTCTCTAGCTAAAACTAGAGCTAAACAACAACTAGAGAAAATAATTAAAGAAATCTCACCAAATAAATGACTCAACAAATACACCCTGAATTTGTTCCTAGAGAGCTTCAAACCCGATCTTCACCGTTCAAAATGTAGAACTCTGAATCATAAACCTCCTGACAAGGTTTCAACTCAATCAGACTACAGATCGGTTTTTGATTAACCAACTCTCTCTTTTCTTTTTTCTCTCTACTTTTTTTGGCTTTTTTTCTTTTCTCTACTTGATTTTCGACACACACTTAAAACAATCCCACCTCTTTTTTATTAAGTGGCTAGGGTTCTGTGTAAAATAAAAGATCAAGGCCCATGACCTTTACTTGATCCAAAACCACTTACATAAGGCTAGACCTCATTTTTCTAACAATCTCTCCCTCCAGTCTCATTATGAGGAGATTCATTACCATAGCAGTTTCATTTAGAACTTATCTTGGCCAGAGAACTCATTCCGATCAAGTTACTACAAAGCTCAAGCTTTTCTCTAAGAAGTATCTTAGTTAACATATCTGCTACATTCTTATCAGTATGGACTTTTTTCAATAACATCTGCTGTTCTTCAATCACTAAACGTAACCAATGATATCTAACATCAATGTGCTTTATTTTAGCATGGTACATGATATTCTTACTCAAATCTAAAGTATTTTAGCTATCACAAAATATCACATACTCTTTCTGATTCAATTTCAATTCAAGAAGAAAACGTTTCATCTAAAGCATTTCTTTACATGCTTCAGTTGCTGCAATATACTCAACCTCTGTAGTTAACAAAGTAACACACTTCTGTAACTTAAATTGCCAAGATACAGCTCTTCTTGCAAAAGTGAATAAATATCTTGAAGTAGATTTCCTACCATCAAGATCACCTGTCATGTCAGCATCAGTAAACCCTTCTAGAACTGGTTGTGAAACACCATAAGTCAAGCACATTTTTGAGGTACCCCTCAAATATCTAAAAATTTATTTCACTACTTCTCAGTGAACCTTCTCTGGACTAGAAAGAAATCTGCTCACTGCACCAATTGCATGAGCAATGTTAGGCCTTGTACAAATCATAAGATACTTTAAAGAATCGACTACAGAAGAATAAGGAATACTAGACATAGTTAGTTACTCTTCTTTAGACACTGGACAAGATTTCTTACTTAGATGAAAATGGTTGGCAAGTGGACTGCTAATTGATTTAGCATGTTGCATGTTGAATCTACCAAGCACTCGTTCAACATACTTTTTTTGTGACAACCACAGCTTTCCAGCTCTTTTATCTCGGATAATGTCCATACCAAAAATCTGCTTAGCTACCCCTAAATCTTTCATATCAAAAGACTTAGACAATTGTTCTTTCAACCTGTAAACTATACTAGCATCTTGTCCTATAATCAACATATCATCAACATATAATAATAGGATAATGAAGTTATCATTAGGAAATTGTTTAACATACACATAAAAATTCGATACTATTTTTTTATAGCTAAGACTCACCATAAAAGAATCAAACTTCTTGTACCATTATCGCGGAGCTTGTTTCAAGCCATACAAGCTTTTTTTTAATTTGTAAATTAAGTGCTCTTTCTCTTTCACTTTAAAACCCTCTGGCTGATTCATATAAATGTCCTTCTGTAAATCACCATGCAAAAATACAGTTTTAACATCAAGTTACTCAAGCTCAATATTCAAACTAGCTGTTAATCCCAGTACCACTCGAATAGAACTCATCTTTATAATTGGAGCAAAGATCTCATCAAAATCGATGCTTGGTTTCTGAAAAAAAATTTTTACTATCAATCGAGCTTTGTACCTCACTAGTTTGTCACCATCTTTTTTCAATTTGAACACCCATTTATTCTTTAATGACCTCTTCTCTGTTAGAAGTTTAATAAGATCGTAAGTACCATTCTTTCGTAATAACTCCATCTTTTCTTTCATTACTTTTAACCAGTACTCTCTATCCGAAGTAGCCTGCACATCTTGAAAGCTTTCTAGCTCCCCTTCACTGGTAACTAAAATAAAATCTAAACTTGGATACCTGGTAGATGGCCTACACTCTCTAGTAGATCTCTTGGGTTGAGACTCTACATCACTTGATGTCGAAGGTAGCTCTTCTTGTTCAATACTTTTAGGTAGAGAGGATTGCTCCCCCTGCTCAAAACTAATTGCATCTGGCTCATCACCTACTGTGGTTGGCTCATTCATATCTTCAAGTTCTGTTTCTTGCTCATTTCCACCATCTGTGGCTCTTTCCTGTGGAATTCCTGTAGGTGTTAAAACATCACACTCAACAGTAACCCCTGTAGTCTTCTCATTTTTCTCAAAGTCTGTTATGTTTTTTTTTCATGAAAGACCACATCCCTGCTTTTGACTGTCTTTCTCTTTACTGGATCTCATACTTTGTAGCTAAATTTCTCATCACCATATCCTACAAACACACACTGTGTAGCTTTACTGTCAAGCTTTGATCTCTGTTCTTTTGGCACATGCATGAATGCTTTACACCCAAAAATTTTCAAGTGAGAGTATGAAGTATCTTTTTCTGTCCACACTTTTTTTGAAATGTCAAAGCCCAAAAGAACTGATGGTGACCTGTTAAGTAAATAACAAGTTGTGTTGACTGCTTCACCCTAGAATGGCTTTGGTAATTTTGTCATCCTCAACATACATTTGACTTTTTTCATAATGGTGCGATTCATTCTTTCAGCTATACTATTATGCTACGGTGTTCCAGGTTCTATCCTCTCATGTCTGATCTCATGCTTTGAGCAATACTCTTCAAAGCCTTTAGATGTGTATTCTCCACCATTATTAGTTCGAATACACTTCAAAGGTAACATTGTCATCCTTTCAACCATGGCATGAAATTTTTAAAAATATTGTAGTACCTGACTTTTGTATTTCAACATATATACCCAAGTCTTACGTGAAGCATCATCAATAAAAGTAACAAAATATCTGCTACCATCTAATGACTCAACCTCAATGGGATCACATACGTCAGAATAAATTAATTCCAATCTATTTTTTTTTCTTTGAGAATTTTTATGAAAAAAACTCTATGATGCTTACCAAACAAATAATAATCACATGAATCGAGAGACATACCTTTGGTCAAAGAAAGCCAAAACCTGTAACCCTTTTTCACTCATGTGTGCCAGCCTCCTATGCCACAAGTTTGTTGAAGCATCATTTTCAACGGTATTTACCTGGTTACCGTTCAATTGCATCCATGTCTTATACATTATGCAGCATAATTTTCTCCTTGCAACTACCATAGATCCTTTGAGGAGCTTTCACTGTCTATTCTTTTGTCGGCTTTCATATCCCTCCTTATAAAAGACATTAATAGCAAGCAAGTTCATTCTCATATCTAGAATGTGTCTGACATCCCTCAAAATCAACATGCAGTCTGTACTAGTTTGTATAACAATATCACCAATCCCAACAATGTACGACACATTCTTGTTTCCCATTTTGGTACAACCAAAGTCTCTTGCTTTGTAAGTTGTAAACAACTCTCTCTTAAGAACACAATGATATGCCACTTCTGTGTCAACTATCCACTCAATGCCGGGATCACTAACATGATTACAATCACCATGTGTACAAATCAAAGTAACTGAATCACTATCTGAATTCACTGCTACAACATTGCCATCATCTGAACTCTTATCTTTCTCATCTTTTCGCTCTTGCTTCAAGATTTTACAGTTTCGTTTTATATGACCCGCCTTACCATAATAGAAACACTTTACTTTACCTCTAGACTTGGATTTATGTTTAGACTTACCACGGCCTTTTGAGTCCTGACCTCTGTCGATGTTTCTACCCATGTTCTCTGTGACCAGAACTTGATTCTCAGGGTCTACATCTTTTCGCTTTGCTTCTTCATTAAGCATACTGTCTTTTACCATCTCCAATGTCATCTTATAATAAGGAGCTGAATTAAGAACAGTAATAACTAGAGTATTTCAACTGTTTGACAATGAATCCAAAAGAAATAACGTCTTCATTTCATCATCCATCTTAAGCTCCATAGTAGTCATCCGATTAAATATATCTTAAAAATCACTCAAGTGCTCTGTAATAGATCGTCTATCCATGTACTGTAAAGTTACAAGCTTTTTAACAAATATAACTTTATTCATACCTATTTTTCTCTCATACAATGCTACCAAATTTCTCAAACAATGTGAGCATCTGACTCATGTGCTACATGATGGAACACACTGATATCAACCCATTTTTTTTATTGTAGCCAGTGTCTTTCTACCTAGCTTCTTTCAGCTTTCATCTTTCATATCTATTGGTTTAGCCGAATCACCCAATACTGGCTCATACAAATCTTTGCAGTATAGATGATCCTCCATCATAGGCTTCCAAATTGAATAATTCGATACTGTCAATTTTATCATGGAACCTGTATCACTCTCCATGATTTCAAACAGAATTTACTTCAATCCTGAGTTGCTTCTGTATCGATGTCTCAAAATAACCCTCGCTCTGATACCACTTGTTGCGCCTGAAGCAATAATCACAACAATACAAAAGCAATAGATAACAATCAATAATCAAAGACGCAGGAAAAATAACGCACACCAAGATTTACGTGGAAAACCCTCAAGTGTAGAGGAAACAAAATCACGGACCACCAAAAAAATCTTCACTATCAAATAATAGGTATACAAAGTTCTTCTCTAGCTAAAACTAAAGCTAAACAACAACTAGAGAAAACAATTAGAGAAATCTCACCAAATAAGTGACTCAACAAATACACCCTGGATTTGTTCCTAGAGAGCTTCAAACCCAATCTTCACCGTTCAGAATGTAGAATTCTGAATCATAAATCTCTTGACAAGGTTTCAACTCAATCGGACCACAGATCAACTCCGTTCAACCAATTCTCCCTTCTCTTTTTTTTCTCTGCTTTTTCTGGCTTTTCTTCTTTTTTCTACTTGGTTTTCGACACACACTTAAAACAACCCCATTTTTTTTTTTATTAAGTAGCTAGGGCTCTGTGTAAAATGAAAAATCAAGGCCCATGACCTTTACTTAATCCAAAACCACTTACATTAAGTTGGATCCCATTTTCTTAACAGAAAGTTCCTAGCCACAGCCTTGCTCCATTCCTGGTTGGATCACGTATCTTCGCCGCGAACTTTCCCCATGGCCTCCGGCGAATTCCCTTGTATCGAACCTCCCCATTTCCCTTCCCATTATTCCCTGTGTTCTTCCCTCCTTGAGATGCTTCCATTTCGTTGGTGTTTCAAGTTTATAAATGAAGAATTGTGACTTTCCAAATTTGTAACTTTGTTGGCAAAAAAAGATGTATGGAATGTTTGGAAAATGGAAATGGATAGCATTTATATATAACATGGATTATTATGATTCAAAAAGGGGTGAATGACCGTAAATGCGCCATGACCACAAGCTAGGTCATAGCTGACGGTTGGAACTAATTAATGTGTTCATGCCAGGAAACTTCCTTGAATATGACGAACAAAGTTCGATTTGTTCCACCAAAACTACATCTGAAAATTCTGGTATTATTGTTATTAATAAAGTACTAGTAATGTTAGCCAATGTTTCTCTCCAAAAGTTGGCAGGGTTCATGCATGACGAGTTTCTTTCGCTTGGCGGCTCAAAATTGAGCGGATTTCATTGTTCATTTGCAAATTGCAAATATATAGCCTCCTTTCCATAATGCTGTTAAACTGTTACAAATTATAAAATCATACCACCGTCCAAGTGAATGGTGTTTTATATCCACCAGAAACCTTTGATTTAACAATTACATGTCATTTTAACTTCGGATTTAAAAAAGTGGATTTTGAAATTTTATCTCTCAATTACATTTCTATAGCCTAAGGTTAGGGTCTAGGGTATCATCAACCAAAAAACATACCTAGGATGAAAGGATAAAATTAGACAGAAAAAAATATGTAAAAACTGAGTAAACCACCTGAGATTTAAAAGGGTAAGGCTCAACAAAAATATATGTTTTGAGCCCAATCCTTGCTCCTCCATCTCACAAGTGCCATTAAGAAAAAAAAAATTTTTTAATTTGAAATTGTTAGGGTTTCAGGGTTTGTTACTCCTCCATCTCACAAGTGCCATTAAGAAAAAAAAAAATTTTAATTTGAAATTGTTAGGGTTTCAGGGTTTGATGCTTAATCATTATAACTAAGAGTTTAACATTTTATCAATAAATTATATGATTATTGATAGTGATTTTAAAAATTTGGGATCATTAAAGAACTTTTTTTTATTTTAGAAAAATAAGCTTTGTATCTAAATATTTTTGTGTTCATAAGGACATCTCAGTAATATCTAATTTGAATTTGGAGTGGAATGCCCAAAAAACGAAGCCTCTTGACCAATAATTTGGGTTCAAAATCGACCACTTTTGTCTGGGCTCTCACCTTATCGGCTTAGAGATCCAAATACAATACAAGGCCTAATTAAAAAAATAAAGGCCCAAAATTGATTAAAGATAAGAAGCCCAAGAAATACTTAAAAGAGATGGCCGCGTCTCGTGATATTATCATAAGGATTTCAGTTTTGAAATTTACTATTATTATTTTATGAAAAATTATCACTTACATTGTTAGTTCCAATTTAAGAGCTCCATCTATGAAACTAAGGATATATTTAATACACAAAATTATAATAAAATAAGATAAGATGATATTATAAAAAAATAGATTAAATAATATAATCATATCTTATATTTAATATGCATAAAAATTAAGATAAGATAATTTATTTATTAATCAAAATTATTTTTTTTAAAATTTATACAATTTAAATTATTAATATAATTTTTAAAAATATAATAAAAAATATAAATTTAATCTCATTGATTAAAAATAATCTTCTCCACTTTGAGAGAATTGAATTATCTTATATTAAAAAAATAATAATTTTCTTTAAAATCTTATCATTTTATTTAAATATAAATCAAATATAACATAAAATAATTATCATTTTATCTTATCCATTATCTTATATGCCAAACATAAAGAGTTACCACAAACCCTATTAAAGTATAAAATAACTAGTTAATTAATTAATATAATAAATAAATAAAATTCAATAATATTTTACTAGAAATTTAAAATTAATATTGTCGGTATACAAAATAATAATTTTTATTTTATTTGTAAAATACTTTTAATATTTTAATGCAAATTGTAATAACTTTTTATTCCATATGAATAAAATTCTGAATGAGAGCCTTTAGTGTTATGTAGTTATGGTAGACTTACCGACATCAAGCAGTGGAAGACAGCTATTATACTTACGAACAAGATGTGAAATTCAAAAGGTTGAATCTGAATAAAAAGCCAAGTCAAATTGGAAAGATCCATAATGCAAATCAAAGTTTCAATACAAAAACAACGAAAAGTATTAACTATAACTTTTATATCTCAATGTGCCTCAATGAGACTATGATATTGAGTACAATAGTGCTCATACAAGTCAAGTTTCTCTCCTATCTTTTTTTTTTTTTTTTTAACCTTTGAGCTTTGATCTTGTTCGAACATTCTTCTCCATTAAATTTACTTGCTGATGTTAGCCGAGGGAAAACCGATCAAGTAGAGAAAGGGCTAGAATGTTGAAACCCGTTGTTTCAGCTCCTGCCTGGGGATTAATTAATTTGATAATTTGATCAAAGGCTCGGGGTGCGGTTTAGTTTAGAAACTTAATTTTGCCTTTTTTGTTCAATAAAAAGCTCAAGCCCAACCAATTTGAAAGGAAAACCTCAATCGAGGGCTTGGGGATTCTCAGGTTTCAACAAGCATATGGTATAGGCCAAAATTTTTTAATTTTTTGGAATAAAAATAGAGTCAAATGGTTCATCGGATGTGTAAACATGTTTCTATGCTCTTGTGTCTACTTTGTCCATTCCAAACAAAGCTATAAAATGAAAAAGATAGTCTCTTTCTCTGTCTATCTCATCAAATGTTTTGATTTCGAACATGGTGCCCTTTTCATTTCTCTGCATCTATCTTTCATTTGCTTCTATCCTACAACTTCCTAGAATCTGATATTTTATTTTTGGTACATAAAAATTTATAATTTCAGAATAAAATAAAGAGTTGTATAAATATTCAAATTCGAATTCTTAACTTATTAAATATCATTCCTTAAAAATAATTATATAAATTATATAAATTAATTAAATTTAAATTTGAATTAAATGCATTATACTTTTGCCTTCCTTACACTCCAAAAAAGTGTAGAGCATAGAACAGGACAAAGTGGAGATGTCTAGTCGGTAATGCTCCATTTTTGGTTCATTCCAAAATGACCAATAATTAGTTCTTTCCTTCATCAATAAATTAATAATTAATTCATTTATATGGAGTATATGTATGGTTTAATTAGGCCCTCAAAGCAGTTGTGCAATGTATTTAGCCCCATATTCCCTTGTGGTGTGACATAGCCTGTGACCAATCTGGATTCTGTTGTCCCCGCAACCAATGCTTTAAAATATTATTACCATATTAAAACAGTCAAAACTTGAATAATGAAAGTTTATTTATTAATCCATACTTTTGCATTTTGGACCTTCGACGAAGAAGTCAAGGCTTTCAAACGTCTGGCGAGTTTTTTGCTGGGAATGGGATCCATGATATATAAAGGGGAAAATAATTAAAAACGAGTGTTGTATATAATTTGATTAGTTAATATAATTATTTTCAAAAATATAATATTTAATAAATTTAAGATTTAAATTTTAATATTTATAATTTTTTTTTGTTTGCAAGTTTTGATTTCATTTCTAAAAAAAATCTTGCATACCACTTCATATTTTGATGGATTATTCAATATTGTGGCGTTTAATCAATTTTAAGTAAATATGTTTGTAGTTCATTATTTCCATACATTTAGTGAATGATTAATAATTAGGCTTAAGAAATTATTAATTTAGAATATTAAATAAGAGGAAGTTATAGCGAAGAAGAAAAGAAGAACGACAAATATAGTGGAGCTTACTATTATATAAAGCTAATCATAGACTTAACTAAAAGTAGAGGAAGACAATGAGGAAGATGGTTCATGGTTGATCCCAAAAATTAGTGGACCTTGAGAATGTTATAACTTATATGTGTGTTTGTAGGGAATGAGACTCCAATGCATTGAGAATGCACCCCACATGTGCTTGTTACGGAACAAAGGCATAATAATCCAATTAAAAACCATTTAATATATTACTTTGAAATCTTCATTATTTACAAATCATTATTGTTGTCTCTTTACTTTAATATTCGGAGTAGAAATTTGGTGTTTAAGTTTGGTTTGATTAATCGCATTGTCTATGTTTTTGGCCAAAAAACTTTCACATTGTCTGTGTATATGAATATAGTAATAAGGGATCGTATGGAATGCGTACAAGGTATATGAAATTAGTTAATATCATCTAGTTCTTTTTTTGAATTTAACTAAAGTTATCTGAAATGATTGACGCATTGATTAAGCTCCGACTTGGTTTACTGTTTTTTGTTTTGCTACTGCAGATGCTTTGTTTTTTACTGCAAATGCTTTGTTTTTTATTTGGTCGAGATGAGATTGGGAGCTGCAGATGCTTGTTAACTTGGTCGAGATTGGCTACTGTTTTGATTTTATGTTTATCTCTTACATGATGAACATATTTACTTTTATTTTTCTCGAGGGCATATATGTTATAACAAGCAGGTAGCAAGGCTCTTTATGGTTTCATATAGTACAAGAACGTACGACAGCCTACCCACCTTGTGAAAAATCTAAAATCCTCGATGCCTAATTAAAGCTACCCCAAGTACATAACCAAAGAAAAAGTTGCAAAAAGTTGTAACACTATTATTATGTGTTGAATTATGAAGCAACAAGCATGATGAACACCTACGACCTCTCTCTCACTCTTCTTAGTTTTATAGTACTTCTCTAGAAAGTGGTTAAAGCGAAAGGAAGGATGATGCATAGATTCATGCACTTGCTCACCTGTGTTTTAATTCACGTGGGAAGCAGTGAAGTATAATTGTTAGGCCAAACGGAATATGCTACCAACTAGCTAGGAAAATATGTGAATTAATCCAAGAAACCCAGCAAAACAAAAAAAGCAGGCACCTGAAATTTAAGCCCACCAACCTGATCAACGCCACGACCAAATAATTAGATTCTTCTTCAAAGCATGCATTGGATTGATCATATAGCTTTTTGGAGTTTGAAAAGTTCAACGTTTTGGAAAAAACGAATAGTTTCAAACTCTCACATGATGAATTTTGCACATTTTGATGATCAATTAGTTATACTTTAATCCCAGGCTCTCAGCATTTGAATGAACTTCAGGCTTACTCATGAACTGAAAAAATTCACTTTTTTTATTTATCATGATTACTAATTGCTTTAAATATATAAATCAGAGTATTATTAGGATTAAAAATTGAAAAAAAAAAAAAATGAGACCACTAATTCTTCAAGATAAACTTGACCATGAGGGGGATGAAACATTTAATGTGGCCATGAAAGCTCAATAGAATACACCATTGTCTTGAACATCAAAAAAAATTATTAAATAACTACTGTCACAATCTAGCACGTTTAAGTATACGTCTGCAAAATCTTTTTTTTTTAATGAATTCATTGGCTAATTAGATCCCAGACCCAATGTTCAACTGAGCTACGTCCTGTGGTTCATGCACCTTACCCTAAAAGAGTCGAAACAAAATTTTCCCCAGCCGACCCCATCCTCCAATTACTTAGATATTAAATCACCAACAACTTGCCTGCTTCTGCTTTCACCACTGAAGTTTTATTGGCCCATGAAACCGAAAGTGCATTAGCCTCAGCACTCCTGTCACTACTGTTTTCCCCTTATTAGGTACAATTTTCAGCCCAAGATTAAGATTTCAATCTCAATTAAGTTGACTGCTTCGGTCTTTGGGCATTTGGAAATATTGATAACTAAATTTAATCAATAAGCATCATACTCTATTTTTATTTGTTGGACAGCAAAGCGATGAAGTCACGAATTGGGAAAGCTGGCCTCTTTCTCTTATTATATAGGTTGGAAATTAAAAAATAATAACAAAAGGGTGGCACAGATTGCTCCGATGGATCCCATCCTATCTAATTTAAAATATTTAAACACAAGCTTTCATTAAAAAAAAAAAAGTTAAACTCAAGCTGATTGTATACTAATCAAAATTATGACAAATTATTAGTGGCGAATGCGAGTGTTGATATGGATGTTCATAAACAACTTTTAAAATTAAAAAATAAAAAAAATTTAAAGATTTATTTTTGTTAGGCAAAAAGCCTTTAACTAATTAAACTAACGGAAGCAAAATCGAACAATCAATCAAGTATACAAGAGATAATAATTTAATATGATTCGATCCAACTGACCTATATTCACGAATGAGAAATAAAATCTACTAATTGTAGTGAATTACATCAAAATAAAAAATCAAATATTCATAATTAATATCCATAAACCATTTTAATCTTTTCTAATTCTATTGAGTATTTTCAATCCAAATAAACATATACCCATGTACATTCTTTTAAGACAAATAAATACATACCCATATACACATATATATTATACCTATGTAGATTCTCTTAATTTTCTCTAGTCTATTCATAAACATAACATTTATATACACACATAAGACATAAATCTCTAGTAATTTTATTAAATGTCTATCTCATAAAACCTTACAACTCTCTTACATTTTTTTCTCATATCTAATCTTATAGAGATTTCACCTATTTATAAATATACAAACTTATCTATTAAGAATTCATTTTCTATTAAAATTCATTTTCTGTAAGTCTTTTTATTTATCAAGTAATATTTAGTTAATCTCAAACAAATCACTTACGGGATTTGAGTCACTATTCATAATAATATTCATTTTGACTCAAATTTCATCAAATCATTTGTTTATGTAGATCATTTCACTCTCTTTTAATCCATTTATAAACATAATACTCATATACACTCATAAGATATAAATATATAATAGTCTTATGAGGTATCTATCTTATAAAATCTTATAACTCTTTTAAAATTTTTTCATATATAATCCCATCAAGACTTTACTTATTTATAAACATATAAATTTGTTTGTTACGAATCTCTTTCTTTTTAAAATTATTCTTTTACTAGTTAAACTTATATATTAAAATTTTTTTCTCTTATAATTCTTTTTTTGTAAATTTTTTTATACATTAAGTAATATTTAGAAAATTTTAAATAAATCATTTATGAGATTTAAATCATTATTCTCAATAATTTTAATACTTTAAATTTTTTATTTTTATTAAATGATTGATTAGTTATATATTTTAATAAAAACATATTTAATAATATTAATAATAATGTAATTTTTTTTAAGATATGAAAACTGGACAGTTATAATATAATAATATATTACTTAAAACTTTTATTTATAATTTTTTATATATTATAAATTGACACCATCAAATAAAAATTTTACATTCTTCACTGTTAATTATTATCTAAATAAAATAAGTGATGATAAATGTTTGTGGGTCACTGGAGACTCCCTGGCGGCGCTGGACGGTGAAATAATGGGATAATGTCAGGAGTTTTAAGGGTATACAAGGCGGTCATGATCGAGGGCTTAATAAAGAAATGATAATGATTAAAAAAATTATACTGTGTAACCTAAGAAGTGACCATGTACGATGGATCCAGGAATTTTTCAAAAATAATTAAAAAACTTTGGTCAAATTACAAATGACTAAGTCCAGATATGGTGGGTCCCACTGTTCATCCTGCTCCTCTGACCACTCTCTTGTCACATTACAGAAGTTTCCTAAGGAGCAGTAATCAAGCCAAAAGTAGTTTTTTTCATAATTTTTCTGATAATTTCATTTTTTAATAATTTACACAAAAGTTACATGTAATTATTTACTTTGGTATATTTTTAATATAATTACTTGCGTCGTCGTTTTACTTGGAAAAATCTTATCATATTTTTTAATAGATTTATAAAGTTTAATAAGGTATACAAGTGTCAAAATAAAATAACTTCAAAAATATTTTTAAAATTATTATTTTAAATATATTTAGCAGTGTAAAGAGAATTTAAGACTCTGAGTCTCTGATGTTGTTTTTATGATTAAATTCTTAAAATGATATATTTAGCTACACTTTCGGTACTATCACCATTTTAACGGTGTGTCTGGGGGGCCATTCTGTCCCCACTTAGAATAACTAATAAAAAAATTTTGAAGTGTAAAAACAACAAGAAGTTGAATTATTAAAGTAAATTTATAAAGTGAAGTTTTTCAATATGTTTGTACTCGGGAATTTTTTTAAAAATTAAAAAAATTATCAACCCAAATTTTACTACTACCTAACTACCTATAATATGATAATTATTTTCTTCCTTTAATTAATTAATTACAATTTTACGAAATTATTACATGTTTTACAGTGACTCAATTGAAGGAAAATATAAGGAGTAGAGAGCCGTCCCAATCAAATTAACTACGTCATCTAAGTATCTAGCAATCTTTCCCCTTTGAGAGGACTTCCAAAATTTTAACCAATTTTATCCGAAAGTTCTTGAACGCTTAAAGAAGCTTTCAATAGATAGATGGAAGCCTGAATCTAGACAATTTCTTCGATTGAACAGGATGTCCCATGTCGCTTTAACTCTCTTGCATTGCATGCATACTGATAGTACTTGATCAATGACATTTTTTTTTTTGCACATTAATAATTTCTTAGATGAAGAAAACTATGACCTAAATTCATAACGCAAACAAATTAACATGAACATGAACACGAGCACATCATTTTCAAATGTCGCTATTTTAGATCATTTTCGATGTTGTTGTTGACAGATATTGGAGGTGGAGGTGGAAAATTAATTGCCTAAGCTTGATCATTTGGTTTAAACACTTTGATGAGGGTCCCTCTTTGACATGAATGCTTAGCCAGATTGTACTTGTATATTTATTGACCTCATTATAATAATCTTTTATGAAAAAAAAAAAAAAAAAACCAGGTTAATTGGTCGTAATTTGGACTAAAGTCGAGATCTGATGCTTTAGCTAGGTAAGATCAATTTTTTTGTAAAAGAAAATCCTACTTAAGAGATAGGTAATTTCTTTGATTAAATACATTAAATCATTTTGTTTGGTATGATAATTGATAAATGATTTTCACTGTACATGCATGTGACAAAAAATATATATTGATTTAGAGTTAGATATGAGAGGCTAATTACTAATTTAATGGTAAGTTGATCCTTTGATTTGCCAAGAAACAGCCTTATCTGCTTAAATAATGAACATACAAAAAAGTTAATTGAAAAAAAAAAGTGAAATCAAAATTAAACAATGAATAAGTGGTAGGTTTCAATATGTTCCTTGCCATTAGACACAATCGACGATCACGTTTGGAACTTTTATGTATTTTCAACATTTTAATGTGCCTTAGAGACCTTTTTTTTTTTTTTTTGTGATAAAGGTCTTATCCTGCTTTCCAGTTAATAATTTCTCCTTAATTTTTTAAACAAGTTCTTCTTTGGCTTAATTCATTAATAAGGAACAATTGGGCATAAATGATCTCCAGTGGCAGACTCCAACTCTATATTCTATTTTCAGAGGTCCTTTCTAACGTAGAGACAAATGGCTGCCATGTAGGTAAAAATGCCCTAAAATGCTGACAAGGCAGTTACATCACATCTTATGCAATTTTGGGTCCAACCCCGCCGCCGTACGTCATTTTGACTCACGTGCCAATTCCTCTTTGTTTTTTGTTTTTTAATCTTTCTCATTATTTTAATATTCAAATCTGCCCTTTAATTATGGTATAAAATGTTGTGAAACCAAAACATTGTTTGTCAGCAGTTGCCACCGAGACAACAAACAGAACAACCTCGGCAAAATCTAAAGCGTAGAGCTAAGCGAATAATCTAGCAAGAGTTTCATCCAGATATGGAGGACTCTTCTTTCTTTCAATACTCAACTACTCCAGAATTCTCCCCTGAATCATCGTTTGGCTCACCAGAGCCTTTTTCTAGTTGCTGGGATAAGCTTCTTCTCGACCACAATTCTCTTCCTTTGAACTTCAATGACTCTGAAGAAATGCTTTGGATGGATTTGTTGGCTGATGGACCTAAAGAGTCCTCAGAGTCCAACTCCACTGATGGTGTAAAGGAGGAGGAGGTTACTTCAGATGCTAAACATGAAGAGCCCGATAAGGAAAAAAATTACAGAGGAGTCAGGAAGAGGCCATGGGGAAAATATGCAGCTGAGATTAGAGATTCAACAAGAAATGGTGTCAGGGTCTGGCTAGGAACATTTGACAGCGCTGAAGCAGCTGCTTTAGCTTACGATCAAGCAGCATTTTCAATGAGAGGGTCATTGGCTACCCTCAATTTCCCAATAGAAGTTGTCAGGGAATCGCTTCAGGACATCGAGTATCGATCTGAGGAGGGTTGCTCCCCTGTTGTGGCTCTGAAGAATAGGCACTCGTTAAGGAAAAGGTCAAAGAAAAAGAAAAGCAAACAAAACCAGACAACAAGGCAACAACAAAACTTGGTGGTGCTGGAGGATTTAGGAGCTGATTACTTGGAACAACTTCTAAGTTCATGTGAAACTTCTGCTCCTTGTTAAAAATTCTTGCCAAGAGGTCGTGGTTTTTTTTTCCTCCAATTTTTTTGTTCCATTTCCTATTTTTGTTCTTTTCTCGGTTTCATTGAATCTTGGAGTTGTCCGACATTTTCTCGGTGGGGTTTGATTTGAGGGCTGTTAAATCTTGTTCCATGGTTCATCTTACTGATTTTGTTTTTTAGTTTTTTCTTTTCTTGTAAAGTTTAAACTAGAGCATGATGCAAATGTAAAAAAAAAAAATGTCACTTTTGTGGTTTCTGTCTCAATTATTGCGTTCTAAGCTATATATCTTTGGGGATTGTGGACAAGGTTTTACAAAAACCCAAAACAATTTTGGGGATTTAGATAAAACAAGATCATTTTGATGGGATAAAATAATCTAAAACAATATTCAAACTGAATATGTTATGCAACAAAAAAAATCAAGTTATACCTCTTTTGTATGAATAAATAAAACTATTAAATAAATCTTTAAACTATAAGCACAATGACACAAGCAATTTATGTAGAAAACATATCCAAAACGAGGAATAAAAATCATAGGCAGTAACAAATAATCTTCACTATCACAAAATAGGAATAAAAAGTTCTGTCTAGCTAAAATTAAAGGTATACAACCATAATATCTTAAGATTAAACAATCTTACGAGATAAAATTGAAAAGTTCTCAATAAATTTAAGGATTAACAAGCACCCATAAAATCAGTAGGTAAAAAACTCAAAACTCGATATCCACTGTTCAAATTGAAGAACAATGAATCATAGACACACTAATAAAATTACAACTCAATTGGATAACGGATTGATCTTGATCAAACTACTTGATTGGGATTATACAAAACCCTTTTTTTCTCCTTTTTTTCTTTATTGTAGTCACACCACTCTTGTTTCTTTTTTAGCCATATAAGGGTTTAAAACCCTATAACCAAGCATGAAAGGACTAAGAAGTCCTTGGTGAATAGGCTTTGGTTTAGGCCACATCTACATGGAATAAACCAAGCCTAACAAATCTCATTCTTTCCAACTATAAAGAGAAAATTGCCATTTCGATGATCAAATGACAAACTTTAAGCTTCTCCCTTGGTAGTGTCTTTATTAACATATCAAAACCATTATAACTGATATGAATCTTCTCAAGTTCAAATAAGTTATTATTAAAAGCATCTCTTAACCAATGGTATCTCACATCAATGTGTTTTGATCTTAAATGAAAAGTAGAATTCTTACCAAAGTGAATTACACTTTGATTGTCACAAAATATCATATAACATCATTGCTTGAAACCGAGTTCCTATATGAACTTTTTCATCCATGACAACTCTTTACATGCTTTAATGGCTACAATATACACTACCTCTATTGTAGAAAGTGCAACACATTTTTATAGTCTCGATTGCCAAGATATAGCCCCACTTGAAAATGTAATTAATTAACCTGAAGTAGACTTTTGAAAATCAACATCTCCTACCATATTTAAAATAGTATAGCCAACTAGTACTGGTTTTTCACTTCCAAAAGTGAATCTCAAGTCAGAAGTGTGTAAACACTCCAATCTATCCGGTGGTCTATATTTAATTTTTGTAAATAAAAAAATAAAAAATAATAACTGAAAAAATTGAAAAAAAAATAAGAAGTTGAGTTTGATTGGGATTATGTGTTTGAATTTGAGCTGAGTTAGAATTTTTGTTTGGATTAGAGCTCTGATCCTATCAATACCCATACAAAACATAGAAACATAATTCAAAAAAAAAAAGAAAAGAGAAAAACAGATTACACGCAATAGAGCATCTATCATAGCTGCGGTAATGTTGATTCCAAGACTAGTGTAGGCTTGCTTCGCCTAAGCTACACAAGCTAGATTCAAGTTTTCAAGTAGAAAGGTAGACAGGATGATCATTATAATACGATGCTAGCACCTGATTGGCAAGAAAAGCTTTCCCTAGCACATTGGTTTGGTGAATCCTAGAGGTTACGTCAACTTTGGTACTTTTACTTACTTTTCATTTAGTTTTTTTTTTTTTTATAAATTCTTTAATTGTTTGGTACTTGTTCTTTTTTTATTATTTTTTATTCTTTAATTGATTGTTTATTCATTTGTTTTGTTTTATGCATAATTGTTTATTTATTCACTTTGTTTTATCGTTTTCATTATTTGATATTAAATAAAATAATAATAAAAAACATAAAATAAAAAAAAATATTTTTTTAGAATAAGTATTAATTATCCAATGATAAAATTTATAAAAATTTCAAATGGTAAATTTTTATAAAATTTTTAGATGAGAAATTTTATCTAAATTTATCTCAAATGGTGAAATAATTTAGATAAAGTTGCAATAACAATAATTAATATTTATTTTCATTCAAAAAAATAAAAAATAAAAAAAATTTTGTTGAAAATATTTGACAATTATCCAAAGATGAAAATCTTAAAAATTTTAAATGGTAAATTTCTAAGAAATCTCTAAATGAGAAATTTTTTAAAATTTGTCCCAAATTGTGAAAAAATTTAAATGAAATTTCAACAAAAAATAATTGTCATATTATTTTCCTTCCAAAACCAAAAAAAAGAAGAAAAAAAAAAGGTTTCTAAATAAACCCAAATGGTGAAAATTTTAAAAATTTCAAAAAAAAGATATTTCTAAATTGACCTAAATGGTGAAAAATTTAGAATTCAAAAGAAAAAATATTTCTAATTTGACCCAAATAGTGGAATAATTAGATATATTTTTTATAAATAAAAATCAGAATAAAAATAATTAATTTTTTTCGATAATAGAGCTTTTTTATGGAAACAAATGGGATCCTTGAATACTTTTGAGGTGAAAAAATATTTTTTAAGAATTATACCAGATTGATGGAATAATCTTATAAATTATTTTCAATATTTAACATAAAAATTTGAAACCATTAGACTCAAGACCCTAGGATAAATTTAAAATAAAATGGTACTATCCTTCGGATGGGCATGTGGGGGTGCTATAACATTTTTCATATGTAACCGAACTTTCAAACCCTGTTCTGGTTAGTAGACCTGAACCTATTCTCTTAGAGATCCTTAGTCAAGCTTATGAGCTCTTTAAAAAGGATAGATTTCTTAGGTGACCAATCACACATAGTAAAAAAGATTGGTGACGACTCCATTTGTTAAGTCTAGCTATAGATTTACGGATCTATATGTTATGATAGTTTGGCGACTTCGTTGGAGACAGCAATAGAGAGTCAAGTCGTAAAATTTTAAATTTATCATATTCTTTGGTCTAATTGTTTTAAATTGTAATGATTTGTGTTATCTGTTTACTAACATTTTTGTCTTATAATTTATTTTTGGGGTATGAAACCTATATGTTCCTTCACATACACTATTACATGCATTTACATTACATGAGCTCTATACCCAGGCTCTATCTCTCTTAGAGGAAATTAAGTACCTATGCTCTCGTGAGATGATAATCTCTACAATGGCTAGTGAAATACTCCTACTCAAATTGAATTATTTCCATTGGTAGCTTGTGATGGATGATGATTGGAATGCTTTACTAGTATGTGATGGACAAGGATGTACGGAACAATTTGGCAATTGTTAGTAGTCAAAATCACCTAACCCTGCATGTAATCAACACCTAAGAGGGCAGTCTTATAATAGAGCCTTTCCTACCCGATGATAGATGTAACCCAAATATAGGACACAAGAAAGAATAATTTGTGTGATGTTTTGCTTATCTAACCATTTTGTTTGACTTTGTGCATTTGCATTATCATGTCATGCATCATTGTCATATGTAACATTGTGCATTTGTATCATTCATTTCATCCATGAAAATGTACATTTCATTTATGCATCAATATATCAAAAGCATAGCATAACATTTATGATCATAATTATGGTGTTTAAGATTCAAGGATAGCTCCACCAAGCAAGAACCTTACTCACCAATACAATACAAGAGCTCGAACCAGACAAATGAAACAAAAAAATTTTAATCACCTCGAAAAGATAGAGAAAGCTTAAGAAAAGCTAGAAGGGGAGTTGAATAAGATTTTAGAGGCTTTGAACAAGTTAAATAAAGGAAAAGGTATAAAAAAAGTACTAGCCAACAAGACCATCCATCATAAGAGATGGATAACCTACTGTATCCTTTTGGTTTTGGGGCCACATCAAGCCCAACCCGCACAAGTCCATTACTACAACAATTCACCTATCTTGTAAGGTACATATACCCTAAAATACCATCAACTTCAAATCTTAGACAATACTAGAATTATGTAAATCTTATTTTTACTAAGAAGGTAGTAGAACCAGTTTAGATCCCTGATTTGGACTATCCAAAGGAGAACAAAACGTTAAAACCAAAAAGGGGTAAATCACTGAAGGATTCAAAAGCTGAATAAAAAATAAACTTATTAGAGGAAATGTTGTGAGCTATAAAGGGCATCGATTTTTATGGTTCAGTGGATACTACTAGGCTCTGTTTAGTCCTAGATGTAGGTATTTCTCTAAAGTTCAATATGTCAGAGTTTGAACAATATGATGGTACAAAGTGTCCAAAGACTCACATTATCATGTACTATCGAAAGATGACAGCCTATGCCAATAATAAGAAATTATTAATGCATGTGTTTCAAAAGAGCCTCACTGGCTCTACTACTAGATGGTATGTTCAACTGGACAATAATATATTCGTTCATAAAGTAATATGGCTCATGACTTCATTAATCAATATCGACATATCATAGATTTAGTTAATGATCGTCTTTCTTTGTAAAATATGGAAAAGAAGGTGATTAAGTCATTTAAAGAATATGCCAAGAGGTGAAAAGACATAGCTACTCAGGTGTAGCCTCTTTTGACTAAAAAAAAGATCATAATGTTGTTTGTCAGTACTTTAAAATCTCTCTATTATGAAAAGATGATAGAAAATGTAATAAAAAATTTTATGGACACAGTGATCTCAGGCGAAATCATTGAGAATGTCATTAAAAATGGTAAGTTAGAAAAAAAAAAACTAAGAAAATGTGAAAGAAAAAAGAGACTGAAACTCAAGCTGTGAGCTTTGACAGATAGTTTAAGGGTTATCAACCTATCCACCATAGGGTTATTCCCCATACTATCCTACTGTGAACAATACTTCATCTTACCTATATCAGCCTTATCCACAACCATCTTACTCATCAACATACCAACCTATTTTCATCTTCCAAACCCCCATATATAGCCTTAACATTCAACATCTCATAAACCTCAGATTCGTCCTGCTAACCTAATAAGTGGTTCACGAGAGTAATGAACTATTAAAGAAAAACTCATATTTGATCCAATCCCTATGACTTATATAAAACTATACCGATAGTACTACAACAACCATTTGATTGCCTACAGCTATGTGGAGTAGCTCAAGCTATCCAATTCCAAATGGTATGCTCTTACAGTCCACTATGACTATCA